TGGCTTGGGACGCAATCGGTAGATGGGTAGACTCAAATCCGTCCGTGGATAGCCTAAACCCACTTTTATACTTAGTTATACTCTAGCACCCCTAGCCGCCCAGCCTAGTATACCGTATACATCGCTGCCCAACCGCCGCCATCGTCGCGCAGTCTATTAATAATCGTTAGTCTTATACGCAATTAAATGAAGCCATCATAAGACTTTACTTTAGTATTAAATAACCGTTTATAGCGATTATTTATTATCTTTATTATTATTTTGTATAGTGTCCTCGACCTCGTAGTATTCGCGTAATATACTTCGCCTGCCCGCCCGCCCGCCTAAATAAATTAGGAGCCCAACTAACTAAAATAACTAACGCTAACGGGATTTAAATAGAATCGTTAATAAAATACCCCCAATTCCGCTTCGAATAATTATTCCTAACCGGGGTACGCCTCCCTTTATTAGATTTCTATCGTTGTTAATCCGCCGCCGCCCTCGTAAGAGAATGCGGTTACTATAATCCCCTAACGAACGCGCTGTTAAATAGCGGTCTCTAGTACTAACGAGGTCTCTAATACCAGCGGGGTCTCTAGAATTAATGAGGTTAATAAGGCTACTATTTACTTCCCTGGGCTATAATAATAAAGTCGCTACGTTCGATGCCTTATAAGAGCACGTTGTATAATAAAATTTTACGGTTTAATTATATAATAATATAAAGAGTAGGAATAGGGGAGAGGAATAGTTCATTATACGTATTAATTACTTTTATATATACAATTGCATTTATAAAAATACTGGGCAAAGGATTCAAAATACTACCTTACGTCGATTTAATTACCTATATTAAATAAAGGTCGTATTAAAGAAAAGGTAGGGTAATTAATAGTTCGCTAAAGAGATTAACAATAGCTATAATTACGACGTCGATATCGTTAACTTCGCTAGTAATATTATTTATTGACAATAAGTTCGCTATTATTATAAGGAGGCTATTAATATCGCTATCGAAAGGTTATTTAATATAGCTAGAATAAGCGTACGTTAAATTACCTATTACTTAAGTAGCACCCTTAAAGATAACAAAAACGTTATACTTCCTCCTACTATTGCTAATAACTAGTTGGTAATAGAATTGCGTAGTTTTTAAATCCCTATTATTGCCTAGGAGGTTTAGAATATTCAAAAGCGTATCCGACGGGTAAAGTATAGTCCCTATACTTCGACAAAAATACTTATCGACTTTCTAAAGTAATATAAGAGCGTATATAGTATCGAATACTTCGTCGACTATAATTCCCTATTCTCTAACGAATAAAAGGTTATACAAATATTCTAAACTTTCGACTAGTATATAGAAATATAGAAGAAAAATCCTCATATATTATTAGTAAACAATATATATAAAATAAACAATTACAATTATTAAAATCTAGTAATTTTATATACTCTTTTATTATTATACTTAGAAAATTAATGGGAGTTCAAATTAACTCCCTTCTTTTTCCTTATAAATTAACCGCTTTAACCTCCCCCTCTTCAACATAATTAGTATTAATATATTAAATCATAACTTTAATATAGCCTTTAATCTCTCGAATAAAGAGAGATAAGAAGATTTTAAATAGTAGTTTAACTACTTAAAGAAGCTCTAAGAGGATTATAAAATTCCCAACCCCGTAGTACTTATTACCGACTTCGATAAAGGATTTAAGAAAACTGCTATTACCACCTACCCAAAAGTACTATATTAACTCTATATATAGTACGTTATAAAGAACGTAAACTACTATATTAAAAAGAAATAGGTTTAACTACCTCCTAGCAATAGGGAATATAGAGGCAATAGGGGTAATAACAGTAATAATCCTACCCCCGATACTAACTTTTTAAATTTTCTACTAATAATCCGGGATTTAGATAGCAATAGTCCCGATTTCCTATTATATAAAAGCCCCGCGGCGGCTATTAATAATAAAATTAATAATGAAACTAGCGATAGTAATATCGGTAATAATAACGAATACATTAATAAGGACTTAAAGGAAAACGACCCGGAAGAGGTTAATAATACCGCTGCCGCTAACCGCCTTACTTAATAACTTAACAATAAATAAGGAATTTGTAAAGTAATTAACGAATTAGCTATTAAAATTATTACTCCTCGCTATCGTATTATATTAGCTTCTAACCTTATTCGTCGATTCTATCTAAATATATATAAAATCTTTTAAGCGGCTTGGAAATAAGTAATATATAGGGATAATAATAATTACCTCAAATAAGTATAGTATTTAATAACTTATAAATTTAAACGATAAATTTATATATTACCCCCTTTCTTCTCTATAATATATTATATACTTTTTTCGCTAATACTGTTTATTTATTTATAATTCTCCTCGCTTACTTTTATAAGTATTACCTCCTATAGATTAACGAATTTAGTAACTATACCATTTTAAATTATAAGAATTATAGTATTAAGGTAATTAACCGAATCGAATTTATATATAGAGTTATTAAGCGCCTCTTTAAGAATTATCTCTCCTCGCTAAACCAATTATACGAATATATATAGTCTACCTATCGCTTTTAAAGAGAGGTATTCAAATTATAATGTACTATAGCGAAGTAAATATACTTATATAAATATAAAAGGGTAGGGATATTTAACGATTTAGTATTAAAAGTATATAAAAATACCGTCTTTTATTATTACCCTTATAAATATAACTACTCTCTAAAGGTCTAATTAATTAACCTCCTTTTTTTTCCTTAATAAGTAGCGCCATATACCCTCAAACTTATATAGTACTAGTACTACTATACCTATAACGACTAATTAAGAGACCCTCGTTAAAACCTAAATACTAACTACAAAAAGGCATTTATAGCTTAATATAATTTGCCCTGCAAGTACTTTATATTAAGGCTCTTATAAATAGATCCCCCTCTAGTACTAGCTATAGAGGATATAGATATATACTAGTAGCTAAAGTTAAACAGCGGTACAAGGTTAACCGAAGCTAAATAGCATGCTTATACTATTTAAAACCCTATTTCCCTACTTAACTATAAGCGAAAAATAGCTATCTCCGACCCAGACCTTATAGATTATATACGTAGAGTATCGGGATAAGACTTCATAAACCCGGAAGTTTACGAACTATAAAACTTAGAGGGTAATTAAAGCCTTATATAATTTACCTAACATATTACCGCCACGCTTATTAACTACAAGTAGTATAATAACTACTATATATTCTCTTATAACGAGCCGCCCCGCCAAACAATATAGCGAAAGGTATAGAAGGGAGGGAAGAGAAGGGGGGGTATATAGAGGGCGTCCCGTACTCGCAATGATATTATTCAAAATAATTTGTAGTAAACTATTACAAAAGTAACTAATAATACGGCTAATAATATAGCTAAAATTATTATAGCGTAGTTAATTTCAGTTCTAGCGCCCTTTTTAATTCCTTCGCTCTCGCTTTTTTACCCTCTAACTTCCTTATAGAGAATTCTAATACCCTCCCCATCTCCCCGTTCCCAAATTTAGCAATAGCCGCCAATTTAGTAATAGCCGTTTTATGGCTATATACTAATTTTTATTAGTTTTAACCAATTTAATTATAGAGTACTAACGTCTATTAAATAACCGTCTCCTATCCTTGATTTGGGCGGTTATTAGAATTAATATAGGGATTAGGTACTAAATACAGCTAAACTTAGAGGTTATACACCTACCCAGCTAGAAGTAAGAGAGGCTTTTATAGCTTATATTGTAAATTATCGTACTGGGCCAATAAATTCTATTATTATTTAAATACTTCCTAGAAACCCAAACCTCGCTCCTCCCCCCTCTAATCAATTACAATATAGTTTATAGGGCTACGTTATACTAGTAATATAATATAATTAGACTCCTATAGTTATAGCACTACTTCTAGTACCTATACGGGGTGGAGAGTAGGCGTTGGGGGATTTAAGTAGGAGGGCAAATCTCTAGCCGCCTCCCTAGCACTTATATAGTAGGTATTAAAATTAGGGTGGGTACGTGTATTTTGGGTAGTAATAGCGCTAATAAGGGGGATAGTAGTTGTAATGGTAATAACTGTATTAACCCCTTTAGTAGTAGATAATTAACTAGATTAATGATTCTAAATACCTGTATATAAAAAAGAATACGTAAAAGACGTAGATTTGGCGATGCGCGGGTATCGATTATGTAGCCTTACTTGTACGGTTGGGCGGTTGGGCTGGGCGGTTGGGGGTGCTAGAGTGTGACTAAGTATAAAAGTGGGTTTAGTCTATCTACGGACGGATTTGAGTCTACCTAGGTACGGAATGCGGGCTTGGGAATCTTGGGAGGGGCTTGTGGCTGGCCTATCCCTGGAAAAATGACATACTATGTGGGCGGATGGATCTCGAATTTCGAGTGTCGGGTGTAAGTGTAGATGATGAAAGTGACTTAGTTGCTTGCCCCTGAGTACTATTGATGAATGATAGCATGTGCGGGACAGGAAATGGTATCAGGATGCAATTGACTGAACTCCTCTTTGGAAGGGATAGCAAACAGAGGCACAGAGGCAAAGGCCAAGCACATGTGAATGGATTTGCAGGCGAATTGCTTTTCCTCTTTCTTTTTTCTCCGAGAGGATGCAAATATGCAGGGGTGGTTGAAGGTGATCGACAATCGCCCACACCATCACGGGCCAAGTGCCTGTGGTGTGGATGGACTTGACGCATTGGACGGGACCTGCATTCATTGTCACCATATCCAAATGCCTTGGCCAGTCTTGTTAGGCATGGAGCTGAGATTTGTATATCATCTCCTCTCCGTTCCGTTCCCATGGTGACTGCTGCTGCCATTGGGATTCCGGCCCATCCGCATGCCATGCTCCATGCCCATGCCCATTGTCTCGAATTCCACTCTTCAACAAGTTCCTTCCCCGGGCCGATCATTTTTGACGACTTCCCCATGGGTAACCCGCGCGCATCAGTGACCCGCTAAATCTCCTTTAAAGCCATGTAAGATCCGCTCCCTCCCCTTCCGTGTTGACGAAGAGCAGATCGTCTTCTTGTCTGGGCATCATTTCTTCATGCTAACCAGATAGTTCCTCGTCGCATCCAGTCACTCTTTGCACTGCTTCTTCAGGATGCGCAGCCACTCGTTCTTTCCCGCCCTAATCGGGCTTCTCCCTCTCGTTCCTGTTTCGGGTGTGGTTGCCTCTCCCTGCCACCAGCACGGTCCTCGCCAGGGCGTGGGCCATGCCCATGGTCCCGGAGGAGGCTCTCATAATGGAGCTGGCAATGGTTTTGGCGGTGGCCATGGTGGCGGCCATGGCGGAGGCTCTCATAATGGAGCTGGCAATGGCTATGGCGGTGGCCATGGTGGTGGCCATGGCGGAACCCACGGTGGTTTCCCTCCGTATAATGGCAATGGAAGCTCACCCATAACCACCACCACTACCACCAGCACTACCACCGGCGCTACCACGACCACAACCACCGGTACCACCACCACCACTACCACCACCAGCACGACTGCCACCACCACGTCTACTGCCAGCCCGACTGCTTGCAGTGACTACTGGCTTGAAAACATTGCTCACCAGGGCCTTGCTCCCTATGCCATTCCGGGCTATAGTGTCTTCCGCAGCGTCAAGGAGTTTGGCGCCAGGGGTGATGGTATCAACGATGACACCGACGCCATCAACGCCGCCATCAGCTCCGGCAACCGATGCGGCCCGGGATGCGATGGTTCCACCACGCGCCCGGCTCTCGTCTACTTCCCCCCTGGCACGTACCTCGTCTCCCGCCCCATCATCGACTACTACTACACCCAAATCATCGGTAACGCACGATGCCGGCCCGTGATCAAGGCCAGCGGCAACTTCACTGCTCCCTGGGTCATTGACAGCAACCCATACCAAAACGATGGTAACCTAGCCTGGGGCTCTACCAACGTCTTCTGGCGCCAGATTTCCAACTTCATCATCGACATGAGGGATGGGTTGGGACCCACGGATCCAAACCTGCCCGGTCTGGCAGGTATCCACTGGCCTTCCTCGCAGGCCACTTCCCTCTCCAACATCGAGTTCATGATGACTCGGGACCCCGCTAGAAGGCAGCGAGGCGTCTTCATGGAGTCAGGATCAGGCGGTTACCTGGGTGACCTGACCTTCAACGGCGGCCTCTATGGTCTCGAAGTCGGCAACCAGCAGTTCACCATGCGCAATTTGGTATTCAACAACGTCCAGACGGCCATCCGGCAGATCTGGTCCTGGGGCTGGACGTACCAAGGCATCGAAATCAACAACTGCGGCGTTGGCTTCGACTTCACCTCGGTCAGCGACGCTCCCGCGACATTAGGTCAATACACGGCCGGCTCCATCACCATCCTTGACAGCTCCATCAACAACACGCCCATCGGCATCCGGATTGGCAATGCCGCCGCCAACGACACGCGGTCCGTCAACAACTTCATCTTCGAGAACATCGCGCTCAACAACGTGCCCGTCGCCATCCGCGACGAGAATAACGGCGGCAGCGACCTCGCCGGCACGACCACCAACACCGTCATCCGCGCCTGGGGCCGTGGCAACGAGTACAACACGGCCACCGCCACCAACAACACCGACGGCACCCCCATCCCCGGCACCTTCACCCCCTTCCCGCGCCCCGCCAGCTTGCTCGCCCCCAACGGCCGCTACTACGCCCGCTCCAAGCCTCTCTACTCCGACCTGCCGGCCTCCTCCTTCCTCAGCGCGCGCTCCTTCGGTGCCACCGGCAACGGCGTAACAGACGACACCGCCGCGCTCAACCAACTCTTTGCTGCCGCCGCCCAGCAGGGCAAGGTGGCCTACATCGACCACGGGCAGTACATCGTGACGCGCACCGTCTTCATCCCGCCCGGCACGCGCATCACGGGCGAGTCGTACCCGCAGATCGTGTCCGCCGGTTCCTTCTTCAACAACGTCGCCAACCCCCAGCCCGTCGTGCAAATTGGCACTGCAGGCCAGGCGGGCAGCATCGAGTGGTCCGACACCATCGTGTCCACGCGCGGGCAGCAGCGCGGCGCCATCGGTATTCAGTACAACCTCGCCAGCGCCGGCTCCAGGCAACCTTCGGGCATGTGGGACGTGCACGTGCGCATTGGCGGGTTCAGGGGGTCCAACCTTCAGCTGGCGCAGTGCGCCAAGACGCCCCAGACCGACGCCAACGTTAATGTTGGTGCCAACATCAACCAGAACTGTATCGCCGCATTCATGAGCATGCACATCACCGCCCCCTCGTCCGGTCTGTACATGGAGAACTGCTGGTTCTGGGTAGCGGACCACGACATCGAGGACGAAGCCAACAACTCGCAGATCACCGTCTACGCCGGCCGCGGGCTTTTGATCGAGTCCCAAGTCGGCCAGATCTGGTTGGTCGGCACCGGCGTCGAGCACCATCAGATGTACGAGTACCAGCTTTACAACACGAACGACATCGAGATGGGCCAGATCCAGACCGAGACGGCGTACTACCAGCCGAACCCGGATGCGCAGTTGCCGTTTCTTGTCGATCCGCGGTTCAATGATCCCGTGTTTTTGCCCGGCGAGGACGGCTGGGGATTGAGGATCGTGAATAGCAAGGGTATTAGAGTGTATGGTGCGGGGTTGTATAGTTTCTTTGACAACTATGACCAGACGACGTGCATCCCGGGTAGGAACTGCCAGACGGAGATCTTCTCGTTGGAGGGGACGAATGATGTGTCGGTGTATAACTTGAATACGGTGGGCACGACGTACATGGCGACGGTGAATGGACGGGATATCATCCCGTCGGCGGATAATGTGGGTATGTTTGTTGCTTCTGTTGCGTGGGTTCATACCTGAAAGGGCATGGACTCGGGAGGGGGAGGGTTTGGGAGGGATTGAACTTGGATATTCATTTCGAGGGTTGTTTGTTGGTTGGATTTCTGTTGGCCTGCGGGTTATGAAGTCATGACTAGCTACTTAATTATAACGAATGTCAGTCTTCGGAAGTCTTTGGTTTTTGTGATGTTGTCTTCTCACCCTTTCTTGTTGTGAACCTGCCTGGGAAAGCGAGCACCTCTCAGTCAGCAGAGTATAGCTTTACTTGTGTGACTACAAGGGAGAATTCAACGAATAGTTGGTCACATTTGTTCAGGGTAAGACTGTTTGCGCCAGGTCAATGGATTGTATACACTTACAAATACGTTACAGACGCCTTCCCAAGGGCTGCCCAAGAGCGTGACATGGCCATGAGTGCGAACGGTTTTAGTTCACAGACAACACGTAGAATGATCCAGGAATCACCCCATGAAACCCAGTCCCAAACAGCAGACTCTTTCCAGCCACTGCAATGCCGCCAGTGAAGTGGGAGTCAAGGGGTTTGTCCAGTATGATCTCCCCGGTTGACTTCCGCAACACCACAAGATGGCCTTCTGCTGGCGTGTCAACCTTCCTCCCAAGGAGTACCAAATCACCCACAACAGTAGGTGGATTTCCTACCAACCAGTTATCGGGTGCTGGCGTTTCCCACAGAATCTCCCCCGTCTCCAAGTCGGCGGCCCCATACGCGCTTCCGTTGGTACTCCTCCCCGGTCCCGACCCCGGTTGCGGCGCAGGAGTCCACGTCCCACTCTCCGAGTTGACGGTAACGTAATACACCCTCTTGTCATCAACCGCAATGCCCCAAGTCAACCCGCCACCTTGACCTCCCGGCCCTGTAGACACCGCCCACTCGAGATCGCCCGTGTCAGCTGCCAAACTGTACAGATTTCCGTTCTTCTGCCCGACGACAACAACATCTTTGCCTTTCTTCCCCCCGCGAGGGACAAAAGCGGGCGCCATACCAAAGTCCGCATCTGGACCCGGTGTTTGTGGACACAGTCCGGCGTCGAAAGTAGCATTCAGACACGCGACGCTCCATGCGTCCAAGACTACAAGACGGTGCACCCACTTGACGTTCCCTGTCTTCAAGTCGAGGGCTACCACCGCTTCTTGCCAGACCCTTGATGGAAGCTCGCATGTGGGGTGAGCTGGGTCGGCGGTGCAGGCTAGCCACGGGTCCGGCACGCTGTAGAGGTTACCGGTCGCGTAGAAGATGGTGTTGCGCTTGGGATCGATGGACGGCTGACTTCCCCATATGGCGCTGCCGGACCAGAAGCCTGGTTCGGAAGGGTCGTCGTTGGGAGGCATCATGGGCACGTCCCACAGGGTGGTGAACTTTTTGGCTTTGCGGTTGAAGCGGACTGCGATGGCGTTGCCGATGAAGGTGCAGCAGGTGTAGTTGACGCCGGGGAGAAATCCGACACTCTCTTCCGCGGACGCGGCGCCTGAGTAGATGATGTCGCCTAGTAGCGTGTGTGATTGGGTGACTTGGGCCAAAGGGTGGGCGTTGATTCGGTGGGTGGCAAGGACTTTGCCTGTCTTGAGGTCGGCGGCAACAAGGAGGGCGTTCCAGAGGGTTGCAAAGTAGATGATGTTGTTGTCCAGATCAAGCTGAGGGGTAGTCCGAGAAATTGGATAAGGCGCAACGGCGGCTTGAAGGGGATCGGCGGGGGCATAGTCGAGGATCACTTGGGTGACGTTGATGTCCCATTTGACCTTGCAGGATGTGTAATCGAAGGCTACGAGAGAGCCGTTCCAGGCAGGGAAATAGGCGATTCCTTCTACAACGGAGGGCGTTGCGGTTATGCCACCCACATAGCCGGGGACATGGCAGTGCTCGGAAAGGCTTTGGATGTTGGAAGAAGATATCTTGGTATTAGTCGAAGCCCAACGGCTGTTGTAGTTGCTGCCACCCCAACCGATCCATGGTGTTTCTCTGGCCTTGTTGTCTGTGGCCGTGACGGCCAGGAGGGGGCAGCTGAGAGAATCAGAGCTGTGCGTATCAGGGTCGGCAAGCGACAAGACCACGAAGACTGTTGTTTGACCATGTTGAGTTGTAGTTTCCGTGAGGATGGTTATGGGGCCCTGGTCAAAGGGAAGAGTGACGGCTGGTTCAGCATATATATACTCGACAAGGAGGAATCCGAGGTCGCTGACGTGAGGCATTTCAAGTCCGATTGGCTTTAAGAGAGGTGTGTGTGACAGCCTGGTTCCTTTTCTGCATGTTGATTCCTGTTGATCCAGCCCCAGTATCTCGGACTGTAATTCCATATCAAGCAAGGTGTAACACAACTCCAGCCGTAATACGAGAGGCCGGTCCTTAGCTGGATGTTGGACTTAGTAACTGCCCTATATTATCCCGCGTGAGGCTCTCAATAGTACATGCGGTGCTTCCCCCGCCGACAAGCTCTGGTTGATCCTATTGGCACGCATCGAGGCAGTTGGAATGTTTGGGTCCGAGGTTGGTGAGGTTCCGTTAACGTTGAATGTAAGAATCTCACTTGACAGGTTTGGCCTCTGCGATTTCCGAAGCATGATTGCGATATGATCAGATTGATGACCGGCACATACGTCCACTCACCACTTGGCAAGTTGATTATTCGTGATGTAGTAGAGAGCGAATGAGCCATTTTGTGGCGGAAGAAGTTGGTGCGTGAAGGAGTCGAGGGGACTGAACGACGATAAAGTCCAAGTTTGAGATGAAGGAGGAAAGAGTTCCAGTTGAGGTGGAATTGGTGGGTTGGTTCCTCGTTCTTGAACTCAACGGTTACTTATCGATAAGTCCAGGACTATTTTGCGCATATGATTGGGCAGAAGCAGTTTATGTGGACAGGGTACAAGTGTACCTTCATAACTTCATAACAGACACCCAAAAAGACAAACGGCTGCATTGCATCTTCGCGACGACATCTCCTTCACCATTTACACAGGCTGACTCGAACGACCAGGATACTTTTGAATTATTGACCAGCTCATATTTGGACGATAGCAGTTGTAAACCCTACGCGGCGTTGAGGATACTTCACAATCACACACAATGCCGCCGCCGCTATCGCAAAGGTCCGATGAGAGCTCCTCCGAGGAAGAGGCCTCGGACTCAGGTTCAGTTCATGAGGCCGCTCCAGAATCCGACTCACTTCAGCTGCTACGGGAAAGTGCAATGGGTGTCCTGGCCTCGCGCTTGACTGCTCAGAATTCTGGAACATCCGGGAACCATGTCACAGGCAAGCTCATCAACAACGCCAAAAGAGGACCAGCGGATGACCTCACAAATGATCACGTCGCAAAGTATCCGAGACTTGATCAAGGAAAAGAGGTCCAAGATGAAGAAGAATCTGATGAAGAAGAGGAATATTCAAGCTCTGAGGAGGATGAAGAGGACGAGGAGGAAGACGAAGAGGGCCAAGGTAAGCATCCTCTCCTCTGGACCGCTGAGCTCGGCCCCGTCTAACCAAGTGACATCTGAAATAGGAAGTGGTTCTTACCCTAGCCATTCCGCGTCAGGAAGATTTGTAGTGTCAGAAGGCATCTCCCCTTGGACACCTCGTGATCCTTCCGCAGATAAATATCCTCTACATCCAGATCTTGTGGGCATGAGTGAGTAACAACTCCTTCATATGTCATCAGCATACTGACGTATAACGCCAGCGCCTGTCGAGTTATTCCCGCACGCTCTACCAAATTTTAAGCTGCCCCATCACCTTGCGCCCATTGCTCGACATTTGGCTGAGCGTCCCATAAAACGAATGCCGATTCTCGAGAAACCTTTTGTGGACAATAAACCGGACAACTTCAGCGCCTATTTCTTGCAAGCGACAGGCCATATGGTGCCAGACGAGCAGGCTTGCGCACGCTGCAAAGGAGTCGTAATTAAGAAGCGTTATGTGGGCGGAACCTTCGTTGGCTGTGTGGTATTCGCAGACCCAGAAGAGGCTAAACTAACGGGTGGTGCCTGTGCCAACTGCTGGTATGGCCGCCAGGGTTCGTTGTGCAGTTTTCGCAACCCAGGGGCAGTTGGAAAGCTCAAGAAACAGCCAAAAGAATCATACGAACCGAGGTCGCAGATATCAAATCCCTCGCTCATGTCCCCACCGCCACCACCAGAAGGACAGCCGATGCAGCATGGGCAGCAGCTTGGGAATACCGGCCAAGTTCATCCGGCATTCCTCGCATCCATCTCATCCGCTTCTCCGGCTTATACACCTTCTTCGGACTATCCACACATTGAGGCCCAAATCGTCCACCAGAGAAACGGCGAAGCTCCGATCCTACCACGCCCAGACGGTAGTGTGAACAAAGTCACGGCCTGGGAGACAAGATACAGAAAGATGTCGACGGATAAACTCAGGGCTACTCATGGGAACTTGGTCGAGTGGCAGGAAGACTTGAACACACGATTGCTCGCCATGAACAAGGTCTTGCTGGACAGGTTGGACAAGAGAGAGCAGTCATACTCTGTACCCCGCCCTTGAACCAAAACAACCTCGGTACTAGCTCATCGTGGTGCTCGATACACAACTGGGCAAAGCAAGGTCTGACAAACAGTTAAAGGCCAGAACACCTCAGTAATGCATCATGTCAATCTCGAACCCTCGACGTGGACAAAGAGGAAGTATGGGAAAGTGTTAAACTTGGGATGAGAATCATTGGGCACCGTCAAGGTCAGCAATTGGCCAATCATATCTCTCTCATACATGCAACTCCACCTCCTGTACCGGAGACGTGGGTCCCTTACCTTGGGCATGTGGACGTGCTTAGTGTCGGTCTATTTTTATTGTTAGGGCGTTAGGGGTTTGGGGGAAAGGATGACATCTGGCGCAATGGCTCATCCGAATAAGAGTTGAAGTTGGCATTGGAAGAGAATTCCTTGAGTAACATTAATTCAATGCAATTGAGAATTGCCCCTCACAATTATCAATGTTGTGTCCACATGGAATCACCTCACCCCTTTGCGCCATCCAAACACCGCACTAACATGTGCTTCAGCCCTGACAGTGGACATGCAGGTGGGACGGGACGAGTCAACTGTCAAGCGATGTGAGTCAAGGTGACCGCCTCCGATAAGAACCCCGATTGCACAATTTCACTTCCTGCGGGAGCGCCTGAACGGCGCAAAGGAAGAACCCCGCCCCCGCAATTGAAATCTTTTGCAAGTGGGCGAGGGCCTTTTCTAGACTTTAAGCCGGTCCGCCCACCGCGCCATTTCTCTTTCCCGCTCGTCTTTCGGTTTCGTCGTTTGAACTCCGTTCCGTACCTTGAGGGCGACCTAAAGGTGCTAATACTATCATACCACTTCTTTCAAAACAGCTTCTGTTTGTTTATCCTAATCCATCAAGATGGCCACTATCATTCTTGGTTCCCAGTGGGGGTAAGTGAATCCACTTCTGTTCTCTGCATGTCGGACATAACTGACCGTTTGTTGTTGTTGTGTTGTTATAGCGACGAGGGTAAAGGTACGATACACACATGGCGATACCAGTCACACATTACACACATCGATACACGTCCCCGATCTCGACCTATACCACCGATATACCTCTCCAACACAATGACTGACCTACCCGGCGTACAGGAAAGCTTACCGACATCCTCTGCCCCAAGGCCCAGATCTGCGCCAGAGCCGCTGGCGGCCACAACGCTGGTCACTCCATCGGTACGTGTCCCTTGATGGCTTCAGGTCCCTGATGCGCCTCGGTGCTCCGGGGACACAATGTGCGCCAACCGCAAAGATAACTGACATTACCGCCGTGTGACAGTCGCCAATGGCGTCGAGTACGACTTCCACCTTCTCCCCTCCGGTCTCGTCAACCCCAACTGCATGAACCTGATCGGTTCCTCTGTTGTCTTCCACGTCCCCAGCTTCTTCAGCGAGCTCAGCAAGCTCGAGACGAAGGGCCTCACCGATGTCCACAACCGTATCCTCGTCTCCGACCGCTGCCACGTCGACTTCGACCTTCACGCTGCCGTCGATGGCCTCGAGGAGGTTGAGCTCGGTGACCGCAAGATCGGCACCACAGGCCGTGGTATCGGTCCCTCTTACAGCACCAAGATGGCGGTATGGTAACCCCAAAAGACACGGACACACACTACAACCAGGATAGAGGCGCTGACAAGACTATGTCTCATACAGAGAAGCGGTGTCAGAATCCACGAGATCTTCAACGAGGAGATCTTTGAGCGCAAGCTCAGGCAACTCGCCGCCGGCTACAAGAAGAGATTCGGTGATCTCCTCAAGTACGATGTCGAGGACGAGATTGCCCGCTTCAAGGAGTACCGCGTCAAGCTCGCCCGCTACACCGTCGATGCCGTCCAGTACATGAAGCAGGCCGAGGACCGCGGCTACAAGATCCTCATCGAGGGTGCCAACGCCCTCATGCTGGATATCGACTACGGCACCTACCCCTATGTCACCTCCAGCAACACCGGTCTTGGTGGTATCATCACCGGTCTTGCCATCAACCCTACCAAGATTGACAACATCATTGGTGTCGTCAAGGCCTACGTGAGTTTTTTTTCTTTGCATTCTTTGAAGCCCTTCAGGGTATGACGTCATTGTCAGATTTACTAACCGACGTTTCCGTAACAACAGACCACTCGTGTCGGCGGTGGTCCCTTCAAGACCGAGGACCTCGAGGAGGCCGGCACCAAGCTCCAGGAGATTGGTCGCGAGTGGGGTGTCAGCACTGGTCGCAAGCGTCGTTGCGGCTGGCTCGATCTCGTCGTCCTCAAGTACTCGACCGCCATCAACAACTACACCGCCCTCAACCTTACCAAGCTCGATATCCTCGACACTTTCGAGACCATCAAGGTCGCCGTCGCCTACAAGGACCCCCAGACTGGTGAGGAGGTCGAGTACTTCCCTGCCGACCTCGGCATCCTCGACACCCTTGAGGTTGTCTACAAGGAGCTTCCCGGCTGGAAGAAGCCCATCACTGACTGCAAGAGCTACGTAAGTTTTACCGACTCAAGTCTTTCATCACCGTCTTTGCTGCTTTGCTAACCACCCATATGTAGTACGATCTCCCCAAGGAGGCTCGCGCCTACGTCGAGTTCATCGAGGAGTTCGTCGGCGTCCCCATTTGCTACATCGGCACCGGCCCTAAGCGTGAGGACATGATTGTCCGCAAGACCTCCGCCATCAAGGAGTAAATCACCACTTAAAAAGGCGTTTCTGTTTTGGTTTATGGGGTTTTAAAGAACAACACACTCGTCAACGATACCATGGACGGGAACGGAAATGATACTACAACAATGATTCACAACAACAACCACAACAAAAAGAACGAACAACGACGGGAAAAAGCGAGGGCGTTTTCTTGATGATCTGGTCATCCGTCATTTTTTTTTCCATTCGCGCTGCGCTACATAGAACGCCAGGGACAGTGATACCCCCCTATATACTACACATCACATCATTTAAACGGCTTCGGATTAGAGATTCGAATCTTACAACTAGATAGAGGTTGTTCGTTGGCTCTGGCGGCGTGGTATAGCCTTTGTCATTTTTTCGGTTGTTGGAAAAAAATAGAACGTTGGTTTTCTTTTGACCAGATGTTCCATTTGAGTCATATCATGAAATGTCGCAGAACACCTCATCTCTCGCCTCACCAAGTACGGATCGACACTCTTCTTTTATTTGATTTCATTTTTACATTACATACAAGCTATATCATCAAGATTATATCCAAAACTTATCGAACCTGAAAGCCCGACAAAGTCACATCACATACCCACAAGCTTGCTTAAAGCTTATGAACCCTCTTCTGCGAGTCCGCGCATCCGCACACATCGAACAGCGCAACGCTAGGATCGTGGTCCGAAACGACAGCAGAAGCAGTCACCCACGAGCTAACGTGGATGTGCTGGAACTTGCTCTTGGAGGAGGCAAGAACAGGGGAGATGTACATGTGGTCAAGGGCTTGGGCGTTCATGTCGTAGGAGCTATTGCGTTGGTTTGGTCTGTTAGTAATCTAGAAGAAAGTGTGTGTGTGTGTGACGACGAAGAAAAACAGGGGACATGAAACTTACTAAGTATACCGGTTCTCAACAGGAGTGTTCAAAGCCTCATCAAGCTCCTTCAGCCCCGACACCGAAGCAAAAGTAGTCAAAGGCTTGACGAAGGCGAACTCGTTGAAGTCACCGGCGGCGATGACGCGGGCGGCGGGATCGGCTTTGAGGATCTTGGAGATGAAGGACTGTTTTTGTTTTGTTTCTCAGTGTCAGCATCTTTTTCTAGGCATCATCATTTCTTCACCAACCCACAACACAACACCCCAACCCAACAGATATGTCATGTCACTTCACTTACAGCAGTAATCTCAGCCTGCTCAGTCCTCTTCTCCACCCCGCCATTAACCGGCGGCCTCACATCGCCATGCACACTTGACCCGCCGCCCTTGGAGCTCATATGCACATTCACCGTGAAAAACGACTTCTTCCCGTCTTTGGCAATCCACTCCGCCGCCAACGGCTTGCGCGTAGCTTCCCATGCTGCGTTGGAGGGGTCCACGCGGCCCGGGTTGAACTTGAGGCTCGGCTGGCCGGTTTCAGCATCAACAATAACCTCGTTCGCATCCGTGCTGGACCCAGCGGTGGCGCCGTTTTTGAGACTGAGCATGGACGGGTTGTACAAGTAAGCAGTACGGATGTTTCCACCTGGCTGGCCGCCGTCTTCGTCATTTAATGGGGAGATGGTGACGTAGTCATACTGCGGTCCACCGGCGGATTTGATCGCCGAAATCAAAGTGGTGAGAGTCTTGTTAGCTGACACGACGCCGTCGTCCGTGGCGCCGTCGTCGTCTTGGACTTCCTGGATGAACAGCAGGTCCGGGCTTTTAAGGTAGGTGACGATTTGCGAGGCGACCTTGGGCATGTGGGCGGATGTGGGCGCCAGGTTCTCGACGTTGTAGGTGCCTACTGTTAGGCCCTTGCAGGATTTGGAGGAGACGAGAGTGGTGGGGGGCGGGGAGAGCGGGGAGGGGGACTTGATTTTGAGGGCGGTCAGGGGCAGGATGGTGTAGAAGCCGAAGGTGTTGGTGACTACGCCCGTGATGTCTTCGAGGGCGTCGCCGAGCTTGGTGGTGGTGGGGTTTTTGGTGGAGTCGAGGGGCGCGCCGATGATGATTGTTTCGGGGTTGGAGTCTTTTTGAGGCAGTTGGCAGGTTGTTAGACATACATGGGTTCTGTGTGTCAGAAAGAATATGGGGAGGAAAGGTAAAGAAAAGAAAAGAAAAGGCGTAATTTACCCTTGGCGCTCATGGTGAGAGAACCGGCGTCGTTCTTGCCGGTGACCTTCCAGTCGCCGATGACCCAGGTGTCGCGGTAGCTGCTGGGGATCTTGAGGGCGGTGGGCGCCTTGACGGTGACCAACTCGCCGGTGAGAGACTCCCAGAAGTCGAGGCCATACTCGGCCGGCTTCAGGACAGGGTTGACGGCGGAAATGTTCTGTTGAGCGTTGGGGACGCTGTAGATGTCACCTCCGTCCAGGCTGGTGAACTGCTCAGTGGGAGGAGAGAGAGTGTCCTTGCCGATCACGAGAGGAGTCACGGTGTTGTTGCTGGAAACGACGGTGATGCCGGTGGGGTTGGTGAGCTCGGTCAGGTGCATGTACGTGTTGGAAGACCTGTACTCGGACACCTTGGCGCTGCCCAAGGTGATGATGTCGCCGACGTTGACGGTCTTGCCGATGGTGCTGCTGAAGACGTAGATGGACTCGGAAGTGGCCTCGTCGTCATCGGGAGTGGTCGAGCGGATGTAGATGCCGGCGGAGGACTTGGCAGTGACGAGACCGGTGACGTCGCTGACGGTCTTGCCGTTGTAGGACGAGATGAACTTGTTGCCGTTGATCTCGGCGATGGTCAAGGCCGCGGAGAGGAGAGGCTGTAAGCCGGCAACGGCCCAGCAGAGAGCGCCCTTCATCGTGTTGGATGGAGTTTCAAGAGTGACGGAGGATGAGAACACTTCCGGAGGGCAAACCACTGAAGCTCTCTCTCTCTCTCTCTGACTCGGCCATTGTCGATCTGGGGGCAGCCCATTGAGCTTATAAAGAGATTTCCCCAGTTACATTTACTATCTCTCTGAGTGATACCCGAGGCCAGGGATGCTACACGTGGGGACCAGTCGCGAAATGCCTGGATGGTTTGTTGCGAGAAAAACAAAACCAAGCATCCGCGATGTTACACCCGCTTATCGCGATCTTGACCAATTCAGGGGAATTACAAAACCTCGCTGTCCCACTTGCTGTAATCAGCAACGTGGTGACCCAGGCGGCCGCGTTGATTGGCGAGATGGTTGGCGTGTTCTCCATGGTGGTGTTGCTTGGGTGTTGCTTCACCTTCCCGAATGGACAGGTGCGAAGACATGTTGCCAGGGGGATAAAGAGCTAGCAGACGGACAAGCTTGGCGCAAGGTAACGCCGCATGGACGAAGCAGGACAACCAGCAAATTACCAGCAAATAGTGCCTGCAGAGAAAGCAGCAGGTACGCGCGTTAGTGCAGATGGTTAGATGCCCCGTGAGAGATGGCAGATCAGATACCGGATATCGAACTGATACCGATGACTGACTAGCAGAAGCCTGTGGTTGAGAGGTATAAGTAACAAGGTAGACACGGCAGAGTCGGAGTGGCCAAGAGTCTTTGAGAGGGCTAGGTCGAGGACGGGACCGACCGAGAGGACCTCTGATAGGCCGGTGGATCGGACCATTGAGATATCGGAGACATTCTCTTGCTTGCCTTGAATATCAAGGAAGTGTGGTAGACTACAGCCGGCGATAGGAACGACTAGGAAGTTGTCTGACTTTACGTACTGGCAACCTAATCAGATGACCTGAGGAGTTCTCGTTGCTCGGAGATGAAAGCCTGGAAGAGGTGAAGATAGTATGGAATGGTGGGAGATAGGGCAATGGGTTGGAGAGACCCCGACTCAGTGGTCACTCACTGTATTCCACTTGGATGAGGGATGAAATGGACTTGTAATCGGAAGTCGCTTGACTCGCGATTGTTGTGTTTATGACAGATGCTGGCAGGAGGGGAGACTGTCGAACTTTATCATGTTCGACAAGCCTCTATCGCTCCCATAACATCTCAGCCGTCTTATTCCCATCCAAAATACACTTGAGACATCTCGAGAAATTAACTTGTCCCCAGATGCCAAGGGGCCCAAGATTGCATATGCTACACATCGGCCAATGTGCGGTCAAGCTGCCTGAACGGGTGTTGGCGATCGACAGCCCTATGGTTGCAGAGCGTCGCAGAGCATTGCAGATGGGTTGATGTCGCGATGCGCTAGGGAGAAAAGAGGGTTGAGTTGCGGTGATTTTGGAAATTGGATATTGGGGTGAATGGGGAACAGTGGCCGATGTTGAAACCAGACTGCTTGCAATGCGGGGAAGTGGAGGAACAGGGAGAAAGCCCCGGGTCTGAAGAGGGACGGGAGCGAGGTCGCCGGGAAGAGCGGGGCCGTTCTGGGCTACCACGGAGCCGAAAAGGTGGAGAAGGCGGCCCGGCCAATTCGGAGTCAACAACGACGCCAAGTCGGATCCGGTATGGCGGAACCGAACCCCATGAACGGGTGGGTCAAGAATGGGGAGTTTAATATTAAACTCTTCTTAACAGCTTTGGCTGCGAGCCTCACCATTTTTTGTTAGTACCGGTAGCCCTTGGCTGCCCCTGAGCATATCGGATACGATGCTCGATTTCGTTTCGCGATTTTGTGCGCGACTGACGCGTGTTGAACCCCGGAGTGTAAAATTCCCGGACGAATTAACGATTATATAAACCCCGTCCATCGTTTCGTGATCTGGTAGTCAACCGCCGATCGTCCTCCTCCAGACGTCCAAAACGTGTTGATGGTGTTGGTAACCCTGATACCGAAACAGGGGCTTTTGGGTTATCACAATCTCACGGTCCACCCCTCTGCATTTCCGCATCGGTCTGGATTTGAAGGAGCTGTTGTCTATCCACTTGAGCACTGAAAATAGCTTTGTGGGAGGAAGAGGGGAAGGAGAAGAAAAGAGGACATACGCGAAGGGTCGCTTATGTTCAAAGCTAGAAGGAGGCAAGATCAAAGGGAGACTGGTGGAGTATCAGCCTACGATGGTTGAGAGGTTGTACATGGCGAGCGCCCGATGAGGTGAGATGGTCTCCCGTATATTGTAGAGCTGACGATCCAACACATGAGCTTCCACTTACAGATAGTAACCTCAAGAGAGGGTGCGGATGTCGACATGCCATCCATGCGGTTGGATGCAGATATATAATGAGCATGGGGCTGTCTGGGTGCAATGGATGGATCGTGTCAAAGGCCGAAGCTGACCCAGCTCATTTCGGTAGCTACCGGCCCTAGTCGCGACAAGGTAGGCAGCTCGTTGAGCATGAGTCCAGCAGGAACTGTAGGGCGAAATCGGTCCGTGCTCTCAGTTTCCTATGAAGAGTACCAGGGGCTCGTATGCTGAATGATTGTGTCAAAGGAGGCCTGGTGGTGATCTTATAATTCGAGGTCGTATCATTGAAGTTTGATAAAAGCCGGAGGAGGCTGACGGTGACGAATACCTCTACTTTGTCCGGTCTGAAACCAACACAGACCTCCCTCTAGGGTGTCAGAGTGGACAAGGTCGCTGGCGGTGCTCTCGGTAATCTTGGGCTTCAGGATTTTGTTGTCGTATCGCTTGTTTTGGGAGAACACGGGGACATTTGTTTCATGCAAGGAACCAGAAACAGACCTAGCGAGCGAGGGTGGTGGTGGATGTGGTGGTGGATCAAAGTCAGCGTGCGAATGTTGGTCAGTGCTGTGACTTTTGATGAGGACTAGACTAGGGCCCGATGCGACGCTGCGATTGCTGCGTACAAAAAGTCATGATCTTGAAGAAGGTTGGTGTGATGTTAATCTTGGATTTTCAGCCTCTTTTTGGACTCGATCTTCATCTGGCCGCATATAGTTGATGAGATGTTTGTGATGGCTATGGCTGGTGTTCAGAGGACGGTGAAATCAACAACGCACGGGCACTGTCCGAGATGCCGGCCGGACTGGACTGCGGCATCTGGCCGGCACTGAGAGAGCCCGATGCAAAGAGAGCGCCGAACGGGCCAGTCGCAGGCGTGTGTTTACAGGTGGCCCTTGCTAATTGTTAGTGCACTTTCTTCAAGCCTCCTTCATCACGGCACTGCAGTTCAAGTTGCTTGTTGCTTCTTCAGCATGTTTTCTTTTTCATCCTCGCATGCGATTCAAAATCGCCGATTTCTTCACAGCTTAAAGCTGGAGATTACCCTGGCTCCACGATGCGGAATGATCGCGCACAAAATCAGTTTGAAGGCGAGTCGAGATGAGCTTCCTCCATCTTGGCATTGAGTTGGAGAACGGGATGTGGCTGCCCCTGGCATAAACAGCGAGGGACCTGGACTGCCCCTGACGGGAACAACATCGGCCGAAAGATTCGGAGTTTAAGCACCACTGCTTCAGTGACATCACAGCGGGGTTGAGCCTGCCCCAGGTGCAGAAGTCGCCTGAAGGAAATCTACCTAAAATTCTCCATTCTCCCAGGCGGCCATCTGGATCGCGTTTAAACACGGCTCATCTCCTTTTAGAACACCAAGAGCTCGCGTCAACCTCGCGTGTCTGACAGTGCCCGATCACATTGGTCAACTTCATGTCGAGATCTTCTTGTTTTCCTTTCTTTTTCACTTGTTGGTTCACTTGCACCACGAGGTCGCCGTCCTCTGGATCTTCCTCCAGGGTCACGATATTAATTGTTAGTGATCAGCACTCAGGTCCACCAGAAAAGAGTCACCATCAACTCGCATCGAGACCTTTCATTGCAGCGTTGCTTGATATCACCATTCCCCGGTGGCGCTCTAGGTTGCCGATGAGACACTCATCAGACCGGCTGGACGGATTCGAACGATACTGGCAATGCTGGGAGCACATCAAAGACGGCAACAAGGTATATCCCATGATATCTCCTCACCCTAATCACAGTGCCAAGAGATGCTCAGCAGCCTCTGTCAGGAAGCGGATCTTTGACAGAGACATCTCCACAACACTCGATAGTCCGAGGTACGCTGAGTTTGAATCCACAGTCAGTTTTCTTGTATATTCTCATTTGGTGCAGATGCAGGCCGATGAAGTCTTGGTTCGTTTCGTTTTGGGAGGTCCAAATTCCAATAAGTTGTATAAACCACAACTCACCACCCTTTGCCAAGACTGCACAGGTGCTTGAGCATAGGAACAGCTTTCTGTGCGGGGTTCTACACTATCTTGTGAAGGCAAAGTGTTTGGAGAGTTGGAGTTCAGCTTTCTGTTGCGGGGTTCTATCTTATAAAGGCAAAGTGTTTGGAGAGTTGGTGATGTGAAACCACCACTCTGGCTGTCATCATGCAAGTCTCAACAGCTTCAACGCCATAGCCAAAAGCTCGGTGCTCGAGCAATATCAGAAAAAAAGAAACAAAAGGCATTATGTCAGCGGATTCTGAAAGCCCTGGAGGACTTTGAGAAAAAAAAAAGATACAGGGACTAGCTCTGCAATACCCATGAAGCAAATCTCCAGGGGCCTCGGCGGGTGACCCCAATCCTCTTCGACGCTATTCCCATTCAGTCCCGTGTACTGTGTAACGCGAATGGCGTCCATCCCTCGAGCTTCCGTCCTCCTTCTGTGCAGCTCACTTCTGCAGGTTCACGTTCAACATCACAAACAGCCGTTCCAGGAAAATGCTGTCGACGAATAACCAAAAGGGTGGCACCCGTGGCACCAAGTTCCAAGGCACACGGCGTATTACACTGCTTGGTCTTTTGCCTCGTTGGGATCCAATGACATTCGAGAGATGCTACCAGACTGCCAGATGCTTCGAGGTTGTGTCATCTCTAATGGCAGATATTGGAGGACTACGCTTTTCGATCGCCAAGAGTACACAGTACGCATGTTTCCTAGCCGACCAGGGGGTGAGCCTGGTGAGATATCTCCCTTCCACCACCACCCCGGTACCACAAAGGGAGCCACGTTTTGGACAATTTTGGAGCATCATTCTCGGTGGAGCCCCCAAACTTCAAAACCGTTAACGCTACCGGGGATCCTGTCCCACTGCCATTCCCGGGGCCAGGACAGCGATTTTGCGCATGCTCCCAAGGAAAAAAGGAGGACACGGAGCAGACTTCTCGGACCTCATTCCTCATATTTTCTGCCTCTCCCACACCACTGACGTACATACCCGATCCTATTTCCCTTTCGTTTGTTTTTGCTTCACTGTCAGGCTGTCCCTTGCACCCAAGAGATGACCGCCTGCCTGGGTCGGAATTGCCGGGACGCCTCTTTTCACCACTGACCAACTTCGACGACTTATTGCTGCTGGATCCCGGAATTGCAGCTCTTGACGCAAACCTTTTGAGTGAAAAAAAAGAAGCAGTATTTTCTACCGAGCTTTCCTCCAACACGAAAAACCCTCTTCACCGCCGCACCGACTGCACACCGACCAAGCCTCACTTCTCATGATTTTCTCCCGGTGATCAGCCCTTTCGACTTTAAGGCCTGGGTCTGCTTGGAGTTTTGCGCCCTGGAACCCGGAAACCGCATGTCTATCGGATCCGCGCAACCTTCAGAGTCTCCATTGTTCCACAGCAGCAAAATCCATCATGGGCCACATACACCGATCAAAGTTCCCCTTTTCCATACCGGGCCGGAAAGCCAAGCCGGTCCCTCCGCCTCCTCCTCCACCACCACCACCTTCTGGCCCGTTAACCAAGGCACAAAAGATCCTTGGCACGGGGGGGATCAACATCGATTCTCCATGGGAAATAAGAGCCAGCCCGGCCATCAGCAACGCCCCTATTTCGGGCGCAGCTCATCATGGTGAGAGAGATGCTGGTCGGCGAAGGGCTCATCACAATGAGGCATCCGCTTCCCACGAAAGGCGATGGGATAACGAGCCAGAAGCGGCCCCGAGGAATACGGGCTGGCAGCATAACGAGGGGCCAGAATCCATGAACTACGAGGGTACCAACACCTCACACCAACAACGACGACAGTCTAGCTCGACAGTTGCATCGTATTACGACAAGCAGCAGCAGCAGCTACAACAGCAACAAACACAAAACTCGGCCATGTCCAAACAACTACCATCCAAGGCCCAGCAACTACTTGATTACGACAATGGCATTCCAGAGACTATACCCGAAGCGAGAATCAAGAAGAAGAAGTCATCAATGCTTGATATCTCTTCCCGACTACTGAAATCCAAGTCTTCCAAACACCTAAAGCCGGATTTGGTTGATTACAGCGCCCATGTTCTCGGGGCAGATATGATTACCAACTCTCCAGCCAGGCCAACAACGCCGGAAATGAGCCAGCAGCCGATGAAGCGCCGGACGGAGAGGACAGATTACGAACGCTACCAACAGGAATCCTATGCCAACTCGGCCGGGCAGGAGATGTATGAGGGGCCAAATGTGGATGAGGGCCCGGCACCTGACGAAGACGTCTCATCATTCCCGGCACCGCCGTTGAATCCTTGTGCAAGAAAGGTTTCTCTATCTTTATTCCCGCCAGCACCGAGTGGCCGACCGGTTCAAACACCTAAGCGACCAGAGGGTCCGCCATCCAGTGTCCTTACGCCTTCCAGCTTAGCATCGCCTCTCGCGGACAGTGCTAGTATCTCGAGTCGTCACACCAGGACATCCGAGGCCTCGAAGCGGACAGATCGCAGCATGACCGCGCTTGACCTACAGATGAACAGCGTCTTGTCTCTTTCATCGGATTCAGAGGAGGATAGCTATGAGTCATCTGCACGAAACTCGCTGGCCGTGCCGTTGGGCGAGCAGGGACCAATGAGCCCAGCCAGCACTCGTTCCGCAACCTCGCAACCTTCCTCGTTGACCGCGGACTACGGTCGGGCCAAATCAGCAAAGCGACCACAGTACGGCACGCAAACACAGTTTTTGCCTATTCCCGAAGGCGCTGCGGCAGCTAATGTTTCGAAGAGGGGCTCGCGAGGCAGCTCTCAGAAGACAACTTCGCATCTCTCCACAGGCAGCACATCCACTTCCCAGACCGCGATGCATGGTACGCCTGCTCAGTCAAAGAAGGAAGCAAATGCCACGCCACCCCTGTCGCCAACCAGCGTTGACGTTGACTTTTATCTCCAAAACCGCAGCAGCGAGACGTTCGGGGCGTATGCGCCGGACAACAGATCCGTGTACAGCGGTAGAAGCCTAGGAAGCGATAGGATGGATCCAGGCCGGCGAGCAAGCACCGCGAGCAGCATCCAGGACAACGCCAGCGGGCGGTTCATGGCCGTCACTCGACAGGAGGAGATGTTGCTAGCAGCCCTGCGACAGAAGCGCGCCCGCATGCGCGAGGACATCCTTGCCGAGTATGGAGACAACCGGGACGGCATGGACCGCGACGATCCGCGAGATTCGCGCCTCACCATGATGAGCGAGAACACCATCAGCAGCAGCAGGGTTTCGAGGCAGTCGTCGGCCAGCACGATGCGCCTCATGGACGCTCACGCTTTGAACGCACGGCCGCACGGGCATCAGCGACCGCAGATCCGCATCAGCACTGGATCTGTCGACAAGAGATCGGATAGGATGTCGGAGTCTTCGGGACAGATCCTCGTCATGATGGATAGGTCGCTTAGGCAATCGGGAGGCGACGAGTGGGAGCCCAGCCCGGATCTGGATGGCTTCATGCACTTTGACGACGCCGGCGGCGATGAGATGTTGACGAGGGGTGCGTTCGGTGGGCCTTATGAAGGCGATAGCAGGCGCAACAGCCGATCCAGTCTCGGTGCCCACTCGGCGTCTGGATCGCACAGAGCCCAGCGCACGCCTTCCTCGCGCTCCAAGGCTTCGTCGCGGGAGAACAGCGTCCCCCGGAGGACCTCGGACCAGGTCAGCCCCCAGACTTTTGGTCATCTGGCCCGCGAGGCGGAGCGCCGTAACCGGATTGTCGAGGCCCCTGAGGAGGACGACATGGAGGATGGCATCCCCCGCCCTGACTCGCCTATCTCGCCTGGTGATTTTCCCGTGCCGGTTTCGATGCTGAAGAAGAACGTCAGGCTGAGCGCTGTTGGTCATTATTAAACAAACAAAGATATCACAATCAAATCAAGGTGGATGATGAAACCTTGGATACAACAAACAACAACAAGTTGAACATGAAAAGGAGGGAGGGACGGAGGGAAGGAGGGAGGCATAGCTTTGCATTTTTATTTTGTTTATCACGGGTGGCTGTATTATTTATGCGCGATGGGTTCGCATAGTACGAGGCAGGAAGGACGGAAGAGGCAGAGATACCACAAAGGCGGCAGGGATAGGAACGGGAGCATGGTTGGCGGGAAAACCAATGACTTATTATCATGATTGGGCAATGGATCAGCGACGCACACACACACAAACAAACATACTCGACTATGTTTTTCGATTCGTATGTTGCGGCCTGGGAAAGGAAGAGGCAGGTTCCCACGACAAGTCCCTGGCATTATACGAAGCTGGTCGTTGTTTTTGTCTCGCTGACGGCGATGACGACGAACTACCAGTCTTCTGTACATGCTCTTTTAATGGTGGCTGATCACATTGTTGATGATGAACATAAGCTCTCCGAGAGTGTAGTATATACCACACACACCACACCCCGCTTGGAAAGAGAGCGATGCTATGTCATATACATAGCAACATACATACAAACTAATAATACGCGACTGCCGCGGTGACTTTCCTCGGAAGGGGATAGTTAACAAACAAGACTGATGCTGTTCTCTGATGCTTTTTGGTGAGAGTGGTGGAAGATTGTGAATGGGTGTCTGTAAGATTTGAACGTCACCTTGGACTAGACGAGAGCTCATGTAACAGTCTCGAAAGACATCATCATCCTCTTCATCTCTGCCCTGCTTCACGATGGGCTCGATAATGCTATCTGTCGGGACCGACGGACACACCCCCTGCAGGGTACAGACTAAACCCCACATGCCCCGTCATGGGAAGGTAGCGATCTGGATATATAGAAGGCGCGCACCTGTACGTAGAAAGAACCATCACGACGATGACCAGCAAAGAAGGAGCTCAAGACTAGGTACTACGGAGGAAGGAAGTAGTCACTACAAACGAGACAGACCGTCAGCAGCTGTACGGAATTTCATGGAATTTGCACTCGTGCACAGACCCTCCCAATCCTCTATTTAACATCGGCTCCCCTCCCCAATTCTTCCCTTCTCTTCTTTTTTCTTTTTCTTTTTCTTCTTCATACTTACCTTGACTGACTGCGCGGAGCTCAAGCAAACCGCGTAGTACGGTGGAGAGCCTGCATTGTACATCGTGGTGTTAGCCGCCGTGAATTGTCCTTCGGGGCCGTTCTGGTCGTAATTTTTGATGTCAATCATTCAGTTACGAAAGCAAACCAAATCTTTTTCAATGTGTGCTCGGCCTGCGAGGTCGTGCCATGGGGAAGAAGATGATCAACGGAACACTCTTTTCACTGCCTGGTCACTCGCTTGTTGTCGATGCTCTGAGGGAAGGAGGGCATTCCCGGATCCTGGAAAGGGCTGATTGGAAGCCCAGTTGGGTACGACAGACAGAACATATATATAAACCCTGGGGGGCTGGAGCCTTTTCCTCTCCTCATCAGCATCAACACTTTTTTATTAAGTCTTTGGGTTCCCTTCACTTCTTTGCCTTGGACTATCGGGATCAGAGATCTTATCGCGCTAACTGAAGCCCCCGCAAAATAATTGTTAATTTGCTAGTGCAATATCAGGACAGTCCCCAGTCCTAACAGCGGCGTCCAACTGCCTGTAACGCAGGCAGATACCGCCAACTCTGGTCCACTTCCCCACCAGAAAGCTGTCGCCAGCAGCGTCATCCTTCATCCCTTCTCTTCAAACGCAGCAAACATCTCACCACGAACGAGCACGAAGACACCCCGCACAATGATAAGACAACACCTCAATTGCAATCGATCAATCTCCACGCCGACAATGCTCTATGAATAACCATAAACAAGGAGAAAATGCCATAACATTCATCATCATTCCGTCGTACTTTGCTCCTCCTCAACAAACCAACCTGCACCCTCCATGACCACCCGATCTTAAAGACCCTCAGCCCTGCCTGTCCCTCTCCTGCCTCTCCACCTCGGCGCGGAACACATTCTCCCCGCCCAAGCGCGCACTGGTCGGGCTCGTCGGCGACCAACTCTCCCGATCCGTCAATTCGACACCACCACCACCACCACCACCACCACCGCCGCCCTTGTTATCCCCAGCGGCCCTCGTCGCCACCACCCCCTCTTCAACGCCCGCCGCGCCAGCGCCTCTCTTCCCGCCAACCCTCTCCGAATAACTCTTCCTCACTCCATACCCGCTTCCACAACCACCGCTTCTCGCTCCTCTTCTTTTACTGAAGAGTCCACCAACAAACGGGACCGTCCCATTCTTCCGATACCCCCACACCGCAAAAGCGATTAATCCCCCGAGCACCAACACTGACACAATCGCCACTGGCACAGAAATGGCGATTTTCTTGCCCTTTGATAACCCAGGCGAGGAAACCAAATCGTCGTTGTCATCGTGGTCACCATCCTCATCATCGTCCGAGTCATTACCGTCCGAGGAGTCGTACCCATTGGTCACATAGACCAGAGGACCTTGTTTTGTTTCGGTGGGCGCGTCTTCGTCGTAGTTACCGCTGGCCCAGACGGCCATGGTGAAGTTCAGTCGGATCAGTTGGTAAGACTCTGGATCAGAAGGGAGGAAGGATTTGGGGAGGGGGAAGAAGGCGAAGCCTTGCTCGGCGGGGAGGATGGGGAAGCGGGGGAGGGTTGAGGTATTGGAGGAGGAGGAAGAGGAGTCAACGAGGCCCGCAAGGGCGTCAGGGACGTCAGCGGTTTGAAGAAGGATTTGTACGCGCTGGTTGGGGAGGGCGAAGTAGAGGGTGTTCCATGTTACTTGAAAGAGGAGGAGGGATGGGTTAGTGGATGGATGCAAAACGGGTCTGGGTCAAGGGGGCCGGGGGGGGGGAAAGACTCACTGTAGTACCCACGCCCCGGCCTCAAGATCGCATCCCGCTTTGGAGCGCAGAACGGCTCATCGAGCGATTGCTGCGGTAGACAGGCCAGGAACTCGCCGCGGGGGTCGTCAACGCCCGGAAACCCCGAGGCGGTGGGAGCAGGGTTGAGGCTGGTGTAGGTCCCCATAGCCCCATGGTCGTTGAAGCTGCTGTATGCTTTAGACCTGGTGAGATACTCGGGGGGCGCGTTGTCGGTGTATTTGGCTCCGCCGGCGGCGTCTGTCGTCACGGTGGGCGTGATGGTTGCGCCTTTGGTTGTGGCATCGACGTGCACCCAAACTTTGGGCGAAGGGGCGACGGTTTCTTGGACTTGCGGTTGTGGTAAGGCGTTGGCGACCAGGGCGAAGCCGGCGAGTGTTGTCGCGACGATGCCCCGAAGGGTTGACCGGGGACTCATTTTGAGATGAGGTGTGTTGTCTCGTCAGTGGGCGATGAAGTGATCGCCCGAGACAGGACGGATAACGGTACAGTCGCACTTTTATCTGCTGGATTGACCTCGCGATACACGTTATCCCGGTGGTTGGCAGTATCGCTCTGCTTATATCGCGATCAGTCCAACTGCAGGATTTCTTCACGCTTTTACCCTCGCAATACGAACTTCGAAACCTTAGCAGACGGTTGGGCTTCGTATGCTGTGCAAAGTTGATCTCGAGAGCAGGTCTACAATGAAAACAGGTGCGTATGAAGTGGCATGAGGTTGGGCTGTCTGGACTCGACTACATATCTGGCAGAGGGTAAGGCAAAGTTGTCTCCGCGGGTCATGTACATGATATGATCTCTCTGCACCAGAGTTGCCGCGGATGGTCAGTCGTCCCATCAGCTTGGACAAGAAGGTTTTTTTGGCAATATGGGGTGGGGGGTGTGGGAGATGTGCGTCTTTCCTTTCCTTTCACTCGTTCTTCACTTCCATGCTTCCAGCCTTTCTTCCTATCTCATCAGCTCCCCACCCTCCATCACCCGCACGCCTCTGCTGTCCCGATTGGGATAAAAAGCAAGGTTCCCTCGTGCCATTTGGGCTTCCAGCTTCTTTCTGTTCCCTGTCTTGACCAATCGCTCCCCCAGCACGGTCTAGAGCCCTATCGGAGACCCATCTGGGTGCCGAAACGACGGTGTTATGTCACTGTACCAGAGCATTGTTGGTGATGGCTGCCAGCAGTATTCACTTTGCTGTCTACATAGTATAAGCCGTGCGGGCAGCACACCATCACGCCATCAGACTCTTTCCATTCTTCTTTCTGCTGTTTCGATACCCGCCACTCGATATACAAGAACCATATCATGGGAAACCAAAGTGATTGGCCCAATACTACCTTCTCCGCGCAGATTAATGCGGGGTTTGACGGTTGGTGATGGCACAGCAATGGTGTGAAGGACGGCCTGAAGCCTGAAGGACATGCCGGACAGCCTCAACCCGCGTCTGGATGCTACACTATTGGATTCCGTATGCAGGATTGTATGGGGTGTCCTGGGTGTTGATGGGTGTCGATGGGAGCGGCGATGATTTCACACTCCCAACTCTGACCAGCGCGAGCCGAATATGGCAAGTCCTGACTACCGAACGCCTCTGGCGGTTACGTACAGAGCTGAAGAGCTATCGTAGGGATCTTGTGGGTGGCCAACACCCTTTCGGATGCACTATGACCGCTCCGGCCTGTTATCGTCGCTTTGTGGCGTTTTGTGCGGTAAGTCGGAGCTATGGAATATGGCCTCCTCTTCAGCAGCAGAATCCTGGTTGCAGTCGTCACTGGCCTGATGTATATATGTTACCGCCCTTGTGGTTCGAGATGTTCTTTAGGAGCCCTTTATAACCCGCATCGAATGCACCCCTTCTACATGTGCTCACATGGCCCATTTACTACCTTATTGACCCCAACCTCCCGTCTATCTGTCTGTTCATCTGACTTCTTATTCCTCACCATTCCAGTCTCCCGGGCCGTTCCTATCCTGAGACAAGACACAACAATATCATACACCTGGGAACGTGTTTCACTCTGAACCAGCACAATGAAGACCAACGGAGTTGCAAAAGCAGCTCTTGCAGTTGGACTTTCAGCCACTGCCCTTGCTCAGAATTCTTGCGACAAAGTTCTTGTTCCGTCATATGACCTCCCCGTTGTGGCGGCTGGATGGCAAGCCCAACTGATCGCCGGCGAGTTGACCAAGCCCAGAAGCCTTCAGTTTGATAGCTCGGGTGCTTTGCTGGTTGTCGAGAGCGGAAAGGGTATCACTCGCCATACACTCAAAGACAATGGAGGCACTTGTATCTCAGTCTCTGAGTCCAAGACGCTCATCGATGAGAAGACGGTACGTTTTCCTTGACCTATGGAAGAAGTAAAGAAGCTAACAAGTACCAGCTGAACCATGGCATTGCCCTCTCCAAAGATGGCAAGACCCTCTACGCATCTTCCGCCTCAGCCGTCTACGCCTGGGACTACGACTCCAAGGCCGGCACCGTCAGCGGCAAGCGCGAGATCGTCACCAACATGAGCAACAACGACCTCGTCACCCGCACCCTCCTCCTCTCGCAGAAGGAAGACGGCTACCTGCTCGTCTCGCGCGGCAGCGCCGACGGCAACGAGGCGCAGGCCGAGGTCCTCAACAACGGCCTCTCGCAGATTCGCGCCTTCGACATCTCCAACGTCACCAGCTCCTCCACAAAGGCCTACAACTACAACGAAGACGGCGTCGTGCTCGGCTGGGGCCTGCGCAACTCGGTGGGAGTCGGCGAGCACCCCGTCACAGGCGGCATCTACGCCGTGGAAAACTCCATCGACGGCGTCACCCGCAACGGCAAGGACATCCACGAGAACAACCCGGGCGAGGAGCTCAACTTCTTCGGCTACCTCAACGGTACCAAGGAGCACCAAGGCGGCAACTATGGTTACCCCAAGTGCTTTGCCGTCTGGGACGTGTCCGAGATTCCCGAGAACGACAACCTCAAGATCGGCTCGCAATTCGCCATCACCGAGGAAAACGCGCAAACCATCTCAGGCAACAAACTCACCGACGAAACCTGCGCCTCCGACTACGTGAGCCCCCGCCTCACCTTCCCGGCCCACTACGCCCCCATCGACATCAAGTTCGCTCCCAAGGGTGATGTCGCGTACGTCACGTTTAGGGGGTCCTTCGACAAGACTGATCCCGTCGGCTACCGCCTATCTTCCATCCAATTCAACCCCACCACCGGCGAACCTACCATCAGCGCCGAAAACAGCCGCGATGCCCTCAAGGATATCATCATGAATAAAGATAACTCGGTCTGTCCCGATAAGTGCTTCAGACCTGTGGGGATGGCGTTTGATTCCAACGAAAGGCTCTGGATGACGAGCGATTCGACGGGGGAGATTTATGTTTTGTTGAAGACGGAGGAAAGTCCGACGAGTACGGAGAATGGGACGATTGTTACGGGGACGGATAGTCCGCAGAGCAGTGCGAGCGCGACCAAGGCGGGTGGGGATGATGAGAATGCCGCAAGTGCGCTGTGGAACGGGTGGGAGACGAGGGCGTTGGTGGCAGCGGGGGTTGTGGGTGTGGCTGGGGTTTTGGCGTTGATTTAGGGGGAGGGTGTGGTGGTGGTGATGATGATCTGAGGGCGAGTTGGAGAAGGGGTGTGTTTGAGTGCACATGCCAAGGTGTGGTCACTGAGATGTTTCATGAGAATGAATGATGATCAAGGTGTTGAGGCTACTACTACCGAAGCCATGATCTGTACATTGAGAGACTATGATATCAATTAACAATTCCCTACTGAAGTTGCACACACTGTACATGAAGTGAGGCCGGGACTCGGCAGTGATGCTTATGCAATGCTCATGCGGTGAAATAAAGGACGAGCAAACAATGAGAGATGGAGTGAAGCGGTCCAGCACCCAGGCGATTGGTACATGTTGTGCCAGGTAGTCGCAGCGAGAAAGCTGAATAGGTACCTAGGTATCTGTGGTCTTGGATGTCCATGAGATACGCGGTTGATGGAGGGTCTCCCAATGCCGTGAGGCTCTCAATGGACGGAGATTGGAAGCTGGCCATGTATGTCATGGTTGGTAAACCTCGTTTGTCACAGAAACCATCATGAAGTCTCCCGCCTCAGCATCTTGGATGGGAAAACGGGATGATATGGCGTGGTTCAAAAGAGTTGGCTGTTCGGATTTCCAGCGTGCCAATGAAATGCCATTCTCAATCCAGTCTCGAGTGTCAGATGAGGGTGTCAGAATACATGTTCTGGAACGGGTTCTGGCGAAGATGCACCGAGAGAAGAAGGTCTTGGTGTAGCCTTGTCCCGGGGCCCGAGATGGCGTGTTAATCCGAGGAGAAACAGGATCAGGAAGGAACTATAAAGTGAGTGGCTTGGAGAAAATATGCGGGGGAAACTCTCGCCAATCTCGTAGGATTTGCGGTTTGCCGCCATCCTTCCGCGTCTTTGCATATACAGCTCGCTTGTCTGATCCTGTCCAGGCGGGTGGGTGTGGGTGTGAGGAGCACATATATCCGGCAGATGTTGAAAGTAGCTGGGCCCGAGATGATTGGGTACCAAACTATTTGCACATTTGTCTTATAGTGTCGTTCGAAGGAAGACGGCAGAACCTCCTCTCCTCTCCTCCCCATACCTCTATGTAGAGGTATGCAACTCCAACTTCCTGTGTAACCTCAGTACCTCTACTCATCACTTAACAATGCCCACACCTCGTCTTCAACTCGCTTGGCAAGCCACGAATTGCCTCCTTCTCTTTTTTCGTAAGCACAATACCGAAATACCTCTCCAAGGCCTTCACTCTCTGCTCTTCTGATTCGAAGTGCTCGACAATCTCGGACTTGTCGCCTATCCTCCTCTTGACATAACCCTTGTGCAAAATCAGGACGCCTATAGGACGCTGTTCCTTTTTCTCGTCGTCTTCGTCGAGTAAAAGCCACATGCACATGACGGTCTGCACGAAGAAGCTTTGCGGACTGGTCATGGTCGATAGGTTCATGACCTCAAAATCGGCCGGGAAGAACTCCATGTCGGCGGCAAAACAGTACATTTCCTTCCAGGGCGCGGATGAGTTTTCCTGGGTTGAGTATACCCATATCCTTTGGTTGGTAGGGTCGGTGTGTTGTGAGAGACTTTTGTATTCGAGTCGTCCTCGCACAGGAGAGACCGTAGTAAAGATGTGGTTGTGCTCCAGGGGGACTGGATTAACGGAGCCGTTGGAGCCAAATCCTACGTCAACTAGATATCGCGTGTTGTTGATGGTCACGATGTTGACCATGTGATTCCTGGGATTTCGTTAGTGCACGATGCTTAGGTATAGGCCTAGGTATGTTCGGTACCACAAACCATCCGTTGTACTCTCCCTTCTTCACTCTTCCTCCTACATTAATGAGTGTGTAACCCAGACTGCGCAAGACGGCCCCAAAGAACGCATTGACCTCCATGCAGTAACCTCCCCTCCCCTTGTCGACGATCTTTTCAAAGAGGTCTTCCAGGTCCAGGGACAACCTGTGGTGTTTCGAATAATGCAGTGTCAAACTCTCAAATGGAACGCGGGCCATGTGGCGTAGCTGCAGCATGGTGAGCCTGCCGAGGTCGTCTTCGGCATCCTTCGGCGAATAGCCGATATGCCGGAAATAGCGATCCAGCTGGTCTTGGGTATAAGTTAACATTTTTCGGCTCCTTTTTTTTTATCGGTTTGTTAGAACAAAGCGGGAGGATTTTGCGATAGATGTATAAGTGCAGAGAAAGAAGAAACGAAAGATGAGGTTTCCAGTGTTCTTGTATGAGTTGTGGAGTCATCACAAAGTCCCCTACCAAAGTTCCCCGCCTAACAAACACGTTCATTTAGGGACCCGGTACTTGATGCCGGGAATGTTGGGTCTAACTTCCAAGGAACCCTCGCGACTGCCACCAGTCACAAACATCTGGAATACCTTATCCACTGCCCAGGTTGTCTCCTCCCATTTGAGTTAATGGACTAATTCTAGGCATATGTGCGTATGTTATTAGGTAATACGCTATGGAACGTCCAAGACCGAACGACGTCAAACATCTGCCCTGTACCATCCGCACTCGCCGGCATCCCGATCCCCGTCCCCACTCCAACATCTCACGTCCTCTATGTATGGGAATTCCGGTGGAAGCTCGACAAAAACAAACTGCGAGCTGCGGATTGTCAAGCAGATCTGTGCAATATTCGATATCAGAAGTGTCTCCAGTATTGGGGAAAATTGATGTGCTCAATCCATGCCGACAAGGACCTTCTGGACGTCAGTAAGTGCCACGGCCAACAACCCGAGTACGAGAAAACATTGACTATTGCACATAAAATTTTCCAACGATCTTCAGAGGTTATTGGATTTTTGCAACATGAAACTCCAGTCAAACCCTCATAATGACCTTCGTATCTTGGACTTTCGCTGCCATTGCCTTCGTTGTTCTCGGTTTCAAAGATGTGGTGGGAAAGTCGTCCAGCTTCCTTCTTTGTAGACTCCCACCGGTGCCTTTGAGAATGCCGTGCAAGCCAACACTATTAAAGTGACATGCGACCAGAAGTAACAGGCTGAGATAATGTAGGCGATGGCTTGGAGAGGCTTCGAGAGATTTTCCGAAGCTTTCTTGTCATCGAGCTCAGTGTCGTCGGCCTCTGTGACTTTAGACTTGGTGTCGGTGGACTCTATGTCGTCGTCCTTTCTTTTTGGCTTAGGGGCCATGTAAGGTGAAAAAAGGATCATCAGGAATGTGAAGACATATGACACTATAGAAGATGACCGCCATAACCACTTGTCGGGGACACTTTTGAAGTGATAATTCCATGCCCCCAGGTGGATGGCGACAAATGCCATTGTGCCGATGGTTAAGGTAAGCCAGCGGAAGACGCTGATGTTGAGTAATTTATTTTAGACCATCCACCTTAGCATGGTGTTTCGAGGCTGTTCTGGCTCCGGAAGAGTGGCTATTTCCAGTTCAACCATGGGTGGATAATGCCGCAGTTTATAGCGAATCAGCCTTCTCTGTAGCCACGAGACTCGAGGCTGTTCCGTTATGAAGCGGTCCTGCTCTCGCTTTAAGTCACTCCGTAGTGTGACGAGAAATGGTTTGCGTATGTCCTGAGGACAACGAATCCAAGAGAGAAGTTGAATGAGGCCACAGAAAGCAAACGCTGTAATCATATCTTCAAGCAGTGTTATCTCGTAACCAAGCGTCAGACGAAATATGATATTTGCAAGAAACCAGAGAGTCTGGAAAATGGAAATTGATTTGAGGACCCAATCGCTTTTGCTGCGGTCATCGATTTCAGGATTTCCTGGCAGCTGCCCGAACATGATCTCGCGAGTACATGCGAATTCGTGAAGCCTCTTTGGGTTCAAGCGTTTGTACTTCGAGGATTTTGCAGTTTCTTGGTCTTGTTGTTCCGGATCCCTTTGACTATCAGGAGTGATATCGTAGAAGAGCTTTTCCGATTTTGGACCGTCGTAAGACTTTTCAGGGGATGAACTCAGGGGTCCAGGGCATGAGTTCGACGTTTCAGGGCGTGAGCTCGGGGGTTTATAGTACACCCCTCCGATTACAACCAGAAAGGCTTGCCGAAGGCTGAAGTTCTTGAATCCTGGGAGAACAGACATGTCGCGCTTTAAGAGCGAAGCTCTGCAGAGTTTGATGCAGACTGATGGCTACCGCTACTTCAGGAAGGAGGAAGTACGCGTATACCGATTGAAACTTTCGTTTAGACCATCTTCCTTTCGACTCCGTGGGATTCCCAACTTCTGGGTGGTACGCAGTCCAGACGGAGAGAAATGCTGTTGTTAAGCAACTCCAAATGATGCGTAGAGTGCCTCGACCGCAGTTCGGTTCAGGCATGTAGCCTGTTGTTATCGGCGCAGCTGCTGTGCTGTTCATTTTGAACAAACAGAGAGGAAGTGGTCTGGGAGTCAGAAGAGTGATAATCAAAGAATTTGGGTAGAGGTAGGGAGGTAGGCAAGATAATGTCACTTTGAGACCAAATAACCGGATGCTGCCTCCATTTCCATGAGGAGTGGTGGCATTTTTAACACGGGGCTCTTTCGACAATAAATTGCCATCCTGCCAGTAGCTTACTGGTGATTGAAGCCAAAGCCAGGCCAAGCATATGTAATTGGCTGAGTTGATGGTTGTCAGGAAGAAGAATCCAGGAGAGGGAGACAATTCCGCAGTCTGGATCAGATACAGCAAATGAACCGTGGTGGGTAACGCCTGCCGCAGAGGCCCTCAGGTTGTCTCGCTCTTGCATATCCAGGGTTGCTGTCCTCCAGTCGTACTTGCCGCGTCTGAGGAAGGCCACCAATGAGTTGGATTTACAAAAAAGTCATCGTCAAGTGTGATCTGCAAATGTGCATATGTCAACAGTGATTCGAGCCTGCCGTCTTCAAGGAGGGTAGCCACATTATGTATGAGAGCCCAGCTGAGGGGTCTCGCCAGTAATTCTCTGTCCGGCTTCATCCCAAGGGTTCACACAAATGCAGAGCAACCAATCTGTAAGGTGTAGGGACTCAACCATACCGTATCAAAATCCCAGCCAAAGAAAACTTCTCCTGAACCACCTGGCTCATGTTGCAAGCGAGCTCAGCTCAGCCCTTTCAATGAGATTGCCAACCACTTCCTGCCTACATCAAGCCAGCACACACCAAGCGCAATCTCCGTTCCAATCGTGCCTTGACAAGAAGCTCAGGCTGTATGGCCACAAAATTCCTGGTCGGCATGTTGGGGTGAGGAAGGCCCAAGGAAGAGAATAAGGGGAGGTACAACAAGATGGAACGGGGTGTGTGGTAGAGATGTATGATAGAAATACCGACGGAGGCGGAGACGCAGAGGTGAAATCCGATGGTTATAAATCTAGAGCCTTATCCTGTTCTGAACTCTTGGCCCGTTCCGTGAAACAAATTGCTTGCCCATCCTTGATTAAAAAAAAAAAGAACAACTCTGTCACCAGAGAGTGTATTTCCCCCCCCCCCGCCCTCCCTGCCGGCTTAATCCTTTAGATATGTGGTATGAGATCCGTCCAGGTTGCATCTTTGTAGATGCCCATGGGAGCCTTTCTGAAAGCAGCAAATGCCAGAGAGATGATAGTGAGCCGTAAAGAGACATAGAAGAAACCCAAAATCATGACTGAAGCTTGCACAACAGGCGATTTTGTCCTCCCAGTGCTTAGAAGACCCCAACTAATAAATATAGGAGGCAACACGAAGACTGTTGCGAGAGAACAGGAACGCCAGAGCCACATTTCCGTAACAGATGCAAATGAGTACCTCCAAGCCGCCAAGTGAATCCCTGTGAATACTGCGACACTGACTGCAAAGACGGCGCAGTTGAACAGCGAAAAACCAAAAAACTCGGTTCTATCCCAAAAGTGCAATTTCTGACGACTTTTATGCACAACTTTGGGGAGGTCCTCTTCTTTTTTGATACGAGGGATGATGAAAGGTCTCCTGATATCTTGAGGGCAGCTAAACCACGCAATGAACTGGACGAGGCCACAGATTGCATGTGCTGCGGTCAGGTCTTCGAGCAACGAAATCTGAAGGCCAGTGCAAAGGCGATATATGATGGTGGCGAGAAACCATAAGGTCTGGAAAATGGATATCGATTTGAGCAGCCGGTCGCTCTTTTTGCGGTCGTCGATATCCTCCTTTGAGGGGAAATTTTTGAACGCAATTATACCCTCACGTGCAAGATCCCTAAGCATGTACACAGGATATACCTTGTAGAACTTGCTCTCATAATCTGTTTCCACGCGTATACCCCAGGAGACCATCAGGAAGGCTTGTTGAAGACTAAATTCCTCAAACACTGTGATATACCGCATCTCTTTTCTCCAATATAAAGCAAGGTAAAGGTCGCTGATGGCGCAGGTCACCGCATCCTCTGGAAATAACGTAAAATAAATGGCGTATGGTATCTTCATCGAGGCGGCTGATAGTGGAAAATGGACGGGCCTTCCGTTCCAGGCTTGTCTCAATGCAGAGCGCCATGTAGGGGTTTCGTCCCAACTTTCTGGGAACTCGATACCACCTGGGAACTCGATACCACCTGGGAACTCGATACCACCTGGGAACTCGATACCACCTGGGAAATCGATATCAATGTGAACTGAAACCCAAACGGCGAGGATCGATGTCGATAGGCAGCTCCAGATTATGTCGAGGGTCCCTCGGCCGCAGTGCGGTTGCGGCATAAAGCCTGTCATCGTCGCCGACGTAGTTGTTGAACTGAAATTCGCTGCTGTATCGTTCATGATCGGTGCTTCGATTTCCGGTCCGTTCGCGGACGACGACAAAAGTACGGTGTAATAGGTCTGGGCAAGAGGAACTGGTGCGTCTAATATGCTGAGATTCGATCGATGTGGTATTCGTTTGAGAAACAACACAGAAAGCGCTGTTGAAGAGTCTGGTACGAGATAGACGATGTATGAGCGTAACTGGCGAAATTATAGGTAAGCTTACCGGAACACAGAGGAGGATATGCTGCAGAGATTGGAGTTTTGATCGCGAGTGAGATAGGCACGAAGTATACACATACCTAGAAGTTAGTCTACTGTTAACCGAGAAAAACCGACCACATATACGTATTGATGTGGGACTTTGTAGTTAATTTCAAGTCTTCCCTCGATGCTCGCGAACGCTGTTTCCAGGACACTAACCCAAATAGCGCGCGAGGAGCTCCTGGGCTTGGTCCAGCATATATGGTCGGATGTGGGCAGCCAACATCCCGGAACTCGATTCTCTTCAAGCTCGTAGCCGACCAAAGCGCATCTTAAGCGCCGCACAACCTGCAGACGACGTCTACTCGGCCGCTGCTCTCTAATCATGGCTTAGCTATCGCCCGCATATGTATATAGCACCGTCAGCACAGTATCCGGAACCTCGCAGCATTGGTTTCACCCACGCCGTAACATCGCCCACCATCTCCGTCACAACTGGTGTGACTGGCTATACAGCACAAGGCAAACAGCTGCCTTGCGAGCCTGATACAGGCCAACCGGACAACTACACGGGTACTGCCTCTGGCACCGCCACTGCTGCTCAAAGACAACGAGAAATGGACGACGCATATCCAACTTTGGTAAACGTCTTGTCCAGTTGCAGGAGCTCATTACAAGGGGTCAAACCTGCCTGCTCATGGCTTGTGGGAATATTCAGATGAAGTATGTGCGGATGTGTGCTCTTCCCTGATTTGTAGGGGACAAGAATATGATGGACAAAAATGGTATATTCTTTGCAACTTCAAATTTGCGCTTGCCTCACAAATGCTACTTCTTTTCCCTTCCCGGCCAAAATCCAGAACACACAAAAAAACGCTTAAATGAGGTTCTTCAACTGCTGTCCGGCCAAGAACTTTCTCAAGTTCTCGACAATCAACTGTTCGGCACCCTGTGGCCTGCCACCGGCCGCATGTGGGCTGAGAATGAGGTTAGGCGCCTTCCAGAGCTTGCTTGGCTCAGGAAGAGGTTCTGTCTCGAACACATCGAGAGCGGCACCGCCAATCCTCTCCTCCACAAGAGCATCGTAGAGGGCATCCTCGTCAATGGAGGTGCCACGTCCGACGTTGACGACCCAGGCGTGCTTGGGGAGCAGCTTCAGCCTCTCGGCATTGAGCGCGTGCTTTGTGGATGGGTCGCCGGGGAGGATCATGACCAAGGCGTCGGTCTGTGGTAGAAGCTCGGCAAGCTTGTCTTCGGAGTAGACCTCAATGCCATCGCGAACACCCTGGCGGCGAGCAACTCCGCGAACCTGAGATCCAAGTTGCACAAGAGAGGGGGTGAGAGTCTTGGCAATGTTTCCAAAGCCCCAGATCAAAACGCGGGCGTCACGAAGGGTGGTGAACCTGTCGGAGGGGCGATCGGGCTGGGGACCGCCGAGATGGCCGGGCCACTTGCCCTGGAGCTGGAAATCTCGCATCTCGTAGAACCGGCGGGCGGCATTGAGGAGAAGACCGAGGGCGTGCTCGGCGACGGTGCGGTCGTGAAGACCGGAGCCGGTGGTGACGGCGACCTTGGAGGTGTCGAAGCCGGCGCTGAGGACGTCATTGGGGCCGGCGGCGAGGGACTGGATCCAGCGCAGCTTGGTCAGACGGTTGACGGCATCTTTGAGGTTATCGGAGGAGTTGGTCCAGGTGACGAGGACCTCGGCATCAACGTGCTCCTCGGGGATGGGAGCCTTGACGTCGTAGGGGTGGAGGGTGACGGAGGGGAAACCCTCGATCTGGGAGACGTCGAGCTTGAGAGAGGTGGGGTAGAGGAGCTTCATTTTGGACGAGGAAGCAGAAAGATGCGAGTTGATGCGGGAAAGAAAGCGGGTGGGAGTTGACCTCATTTGTATGGGATGGGATGTTGATGAGTCGTCCCTCGTCTGGAGTTGGTCACTGGGATGGAAATGGGGATGGGATGAACGGGGTTCCTGGGTCTAATGGCCAAGGTGGGGTGGACATGCTTCCATTTCCAGGTTCCCCAGAGGTTCCCGTCCCGAACCCCAATCCATCTCTAGGCGAGGCCAGGGCATTTCCCCGCTTTCCCCTCCCCCACACACAACCCCCCACTGGCCCCCAACTGACTCCCACTCTCTCTTGTGTCCCCCAATCTCCCACGTTCTTGTCCCCTCTCGGAGCATTTTGACGAGACATTGCGGGCGCCCACGGGGTACAATGTCCCGATCTTGGTCACGGTCTCGGTTGATTTTTGTGGTGGGGGCCAATTCATACTCCAACTCGGAGCCTTCCTCCTTTTCCATCACGTCATACGAAACACCTCCAAATCCTCGACCACTGTCAACAACAAGCCACGAGTCAGATTGATGCTACATGCTCTTCATTGACTGCGCTAAATGGTCAGACTCATTAATCCGTGGTATCGTAACACATGCTCCCAAAAGCCAAAAGCCCCAAACTCCACCGAAATCGTGTCCAAGACCTTTCCATGCATGTTTCTTACCCTTACCCACTCCCTTCAGCCTCGCGGTTTATTGACATCCTACATCGCCTTTCCAACCTCAAATCCAGTTCCTCCCGCAGTATTTCTTTCCGCTTCCTGTCCCTCTTCCTCTACGCTTGACTCGGCAATGGCAACTTCCGGAAAGTAACTTAGCGTGTTGGGATCCGCAGCAACACCATTGAAGCCTTGTGCCGGCATTTGCTGATCCGTCTGGCCCCCAGCATCCAAACTCGAGCTCGGCTGTCCTATCAGCGTAAAATCGGTATCAGCCCTTAAAAGGTTAGCCGGATGAGGCGCCAGCTTCTCATTATCGGGAACTGTCGAGGATCTCGATGGCGGAGATGACGTGGAGGACTCATACACGGAAACCACTGGCGTCGACTTAGTGTCCTTCGTGGTGATCTCAGGTTCTGCCTTTGATAAGGGCTCCGGCTGAGACGGTGAATCATCGGACGGCGAGGGTTTGCTCGGGCCAGGCGCATTCGATGCCGGAGCAGGACCAGGACCGAAAGGAGTGGAAGGATTCCAAGGAAACCCTTGAGATGGAGGCACGCTTCCGTTTCCAGGGCTCGTCATCGGAAACGCTCCATATACAAACTGCGCCGGGATGATAAAATGCGACGGCGTTACTTGCTGTGGTGTCATGGATGCCCAAGCGGGTGTTGCCATCGGCGAGCCAGTCGGTGCGGCCTGGACAAAAAACGGAGCGTTGCTCGAAGAAGATGGGTTGGCGAACATGGTGTACATCGGAGCCGGCGACCATGGCGTTTGGGAGTTCATCCCATAAGCCTGGCTTCCGCTTGCTTCGGATTGCCTGCTGAACGTCTCCTTCTCGTGGACCCCAGGCTGCTTTCCGTTGCCGTTGTTGCCATCTTCAAGTCTGTCCGAGCTGTTTCTTGCTTCATCCAGCTGTTCTTGAAGGTCCTCGATCTCCTCACTTTGTTTGTTCTTCAACTTCCTGATTGTTATGGCCTCTGGCAAAGATATTAGCTGACGAGCAAACCGAAAAGACGGACACAACGCCACTTACCACTCAACATCTGCAAAAAGGTAAACACGGTAAGTGTCATCATCAGAAGAGGAACAAGCTGACCAAAGGACTTGGGGTCGTTCTCCGGGTTGGTGCCAAGATAGAGTTGGATCCACCCTGATCGGTCCACCCAGCGGCGAAGCATCTCAATGTACTCGGAAGAGGAGACCATCGTGTATGCCGAAATTACCAGGCCAGCCAAGAGATACACGCCATAGACCTGTCCACCAATACGATGCACCCACTTCAGCTTCTTCTGCCCTATTAACTCCACCAACCACTTGCAAAACTTTTCCCGCTTTCCGCCATTCTCCCGTCCTGCGCGAACGACCCGACCAAGCGTAACGATGTTGGCAAGGACGTAGTACAGGACAAGAATGACGAACGGAGTCCATCCGGTGATGCGGTCGCCCACCTTGAACAGTCCGGCTCCGTGGAAAGACTGCTCCAAGGTATTTCCAAACTGCGCAGCGCTCCCTTGGAAGCAGGCGGCTGGTAGAAGGAGGGTGCTCCATTTCTCGTTGTCTTTAGGAACCTGGGTCGGAAACGCGAGCTCAGACCCTGGGGCGGCCTGGGTAGAAAGAAGAATACCCGTCGCAAGGTACAATAGCGCCGTCGCTACCGTCCGGATTGCAGCTACCCAAGGGTGCTCCCAGTAGTGCTTGGACACAAGAAGGGTCAGCAAGTGCGTGGCGCAGGTGATCAACAGCATGTTCGAAATAATATTGTAGTGGTAGGCCGAGATGGAGCAGGCTTTGGCGAAGCGCATCGTGATGGCGTACGCGGCTCCGGTGAAAATCTGCTGATCACTACACGAGATGACGAGCATCTCAAAGAAGCCGCCAATGCTGAGCTGCCATCTTTTGTTTTCCTTCTCTCTGTTGAGCAGGCGGTTAGCAACCTCACCAGCCGCGAAGCGCTCCGTCCGTTGAGGTACGACTTACTCTTCTGTTATTCTTCTTTTAAGCTTTGTCAGCTTGGCGTAGTGCCACAAGACATGCAAGAAGGCTATAAATAACGAAAACCCCGTTGTGACGACAAAGGCTCCGATGATCTAAAAACACGGAAACGTGTAAGCTTGTGTCCACATACAAGTTGTACAGGGAAAGGGCCCATCGACTCTGGGGAACCTTACACCGATACCCGCAATATCTGGATCTGGGTTAAAGTCTCCGGGTCTGTTTCCTCCGACAGATATCACGGTCTGGTTGTCGGGTGCGTAAACTACAGAACAATTTATCGTGACTCCATAGTGCGCAAGGCACTGCGGTACTGAGGTATAGGCGCCCATGTTCACCGCTGATCAGGAATCCGGCCTGATCCTAGGACGGCAGCTGGGGCTTGGATGTCGATGGATGATCGAAGCTTATAACCTCGAAAAACCCAGTGATGGCCGTGAAGAAAGGGATATGCACAAACTTCCCAAGGGCGAGAGCCCAGCGTGGGCTTGCCCCTGAGAGAGGGCTCTGGAGTTTTAAAGCCCATCCGGTCTCTCGAGTCCAGAAAGGAGAACCAGCCCCCACATGCGGCTGCTCCGGTCGAGATGATCCTCTGCTTGGCATTGGTGCCACGAGGGTCGCAACAGGGCCTCTTTGGGCTCCATAATTCCAGCTGAGAGCCGACCAACTACAATGCGACATTTCACCAAAAGCATGCGGTTTACGGCGTCCGCAGTAGCTCTGCCGGACTGTCTGCAACTGGTGATCAACTGGTGCTGCAAGAGATTTGTCTCTCCAGAGGGCCGGGCCGAAAGTTTTTTGGCCGGTGGCCTCTCCAATCAACTGAATCACTAGTGTACAAGGGACTTCGCTGCCAACCAGGAAAGCAAGCTACACTACTGATAGCTAGACTCTCTAGAGAATAGGAAAAGAAGGGCTGCAATAAACCAGTGGCTGGGAATGGAGCTTTTGTCGATCTCGACCTTCTCCCTCTTTTTCTGGCGGCAGAAGCACATGCAGCTTTCGACATTTGGATTTGCCCATCCATCAGTCATCACAGATTCACAGGTTCTCACGAATCGCAAAACTCCAATATGCGCGGATCGTGAGTCGCATGAGGGTCGCATGAGGTTGTGGCAGTTTTGGATTCGATTCGAGGCCCGTTCAGTGCGCCTCTCGCCTGGGCTTTCAGTCGACGTCCACTCGATAAGAAAGCAAAATTTCCAATCTCCTACTCAGTCTAGACCGGAATTGATCCCGTGGCCTATCCATCCATCCATCCATCACCCAGGCTTCCCCGCCGATCTGAAGAAATCAGCTATCGTCAAAAGCGCCACCAACCGCGGACCATGCTCCGGTTCTGGCAATTTGGGTAAGGCTGTCGGGACTCGGCGGACCCAAGGGAGGGTCTGGGTTCTGGGTTTCTTGACTCTTCTCTTGAGCAATTCAGGCAAGTCGTTCGATCGGGCCTTCGAGGGTGTCGGGGTGTCAAATGGCAATGGTGTGATGTATGGTGGAAATGAGATATGTGACTCCCAGTCGCTCTCAAAGGCTTTCCTAAGACCCTTTACATAGAACTTCACGACAAGCCCTATCAAAACCCGGGAAAGCCCCCTCCCTCCGTCAGAGACGGAGACATCTTCGGATGCAGAACACTGGCCGTTGAATGGTCAAGACAGTCCAAGTGGGTGGTGGAGAACCAATGTGTGTCGACATGGTCTGTATAGAGGGCTGAAAGTTGAGAGAGTGGTGATAAACGCAGTATCTGCAGTGTGTACGATGTAAGATTCACCCCGTTTTGCCCGCTATTGGTCGTTGAGAAGAAGTCTGGACATGATGGGCATCATTGACAAGGCAAGTCTCAAAACACCTGCACCGCGGGACCCGCAGGACTATAGATCTGCGTGTGAGACATGCTGCTACAGGCTGGGACTGCTTGGGACTAAGCGAGTGGCTTCTTTTTTCCGTGAGGGAATGTCTCAGAGAAACAGTTGACGGTAGGGTAGGTAGGTGGGAGGAGCGGTGGTGGTGTCTGCCTTGTCTACTTGTGCTACGGGAGGTGGGCGGTGGCGGGAGTCGGCACACGTTTGTTGGGGGTTTGGAGAATGATAAAAGAGAGACGGAGAAAGAGAAAGTTCTATCCTTCTTGTGAAACCTAAGCAAGGTGCGAGGAAGGTCTGGAAACGGCCGTGTGAATCCTGAGGTGTGTCCGGGACAGTGGTTGATACTTTGGTGCACAAGTTACCGGTGATTTTCTTTTCTTCGAGTATCTCAACAACCCCGAATAGAACAAAAACTCTCAAAGCCCTCATATACCTTACGATTATCTCGTATTCCGTTTCAGTGGTATGCTGTACTAAACTCAACAGCAAACATAAAGAATCCCAGCCTCTTGTCATCAACAGTGCTTGTGCGCACCGGCGTACTTAGGTAGCAATTCCCATTCCCCACTTCAACAAATCATCAAAAATCCCCTTGTGGTGTAGTTGGATATCACGTTCGGCTGTAATTGTCTAGATTGTATACCGAAAGGTCACCGGCTCGATTCCGGTCGAGGGGACATCTTCTTTTTGCATTTTTTTTTCTTTTGCATTGTCGTCCGCAACTTCTCGCGACGGTCAAAAGCATTGGCGATTTTCTTTTGGAGCATCTTGCTTTTTGCCAACTTCAGTCACTGTTCGTTGAGTTGGGAAAGATGAATCTGTCGTTCACAATACCGGCATCGTCAAGTGTTGGGTTCGCGAGGTGTAGCGCACAGGCCGCTTCTACTTTGCGCAGCGTTGTTTCCATTTCCATCTCCTCTTCCTGTCCATTCTTTCCCCTTTTCCTTTTCCAACTTCCCTTCCCACCACCCAATCACCACCATTCAAGAGTTTTCAATCCGTCACCACGCGAATCGCAATGTCACACCCGCTTCAATCACGTCGCGACCAAAGATTGAGAGAAACCAATGCTTTTCTTCTGCGACTCGCGCATTTCTATACTGTCTGAAATCCGGCTATCGATCAAGCGACGTTTTGTTTCCTTTCTATCTCACACTGATTGAAATCTATCGCAAATCACGGCATCAACTGAACTTTTCTGTCCCACCAATCTCGATCAATCCTTCCATGTATTCCCCTTCCATGTTCAAGTGAACCAATCATTCCATCGATCATCCATTCATTCATCTGCCCAAATACCACACTTCCTCCTTTCAGAAATCCTATCCTTCCAAACCCCCCAACTCTCTCACTCAGGCATAAGCCATAAGCTTAGCAGCAAGCAACCGGCTTAACCATATCAGCATTAGGCCTCGGCACCATCGGCGTCTGAGGACGAGGAATAGGATCGAGGTCATCAAGGCACTCATCATCGGAATCGTCGCTGGTAACCGGGACTAGAGGAGTCTGAGGGCGAGGAACGGGCATCTCATCATCTCCGTTGGGGTGGGGAGTAGGAGGGCGGGGAGCGGGCTTGGAGTCGCCCTCGCCGTCGCTGTTGGGGACGGGGACGAGAGGGGTTTGAGGGCGGGGGATGGGATCCAGCTCATCGGAGTTAGGGACGGGCACCAAGGGAGTCTGGGGACGGGGGATAGGATCGTCGTCGAGGCACTCGTCGTCCGAGTCGTCAGAAGTGACTGGGACGAGGGGAGTCTGGGGACGAGGAACGGGCATTTCCTCGTCAAGGCACTCGTCGTCAGAATCGTCGCTAGTAACCGGGACTAGGGGAGTCTGAGGGCGAGGGACGGGCATGTCATCATCGAGGCACTCATCGTCGGAATCGTCAGAAGTAACAGGAACGAGGGGGGTCTGGGGACGAGGAACGGGCATCTCATCGTCGAGGCACTCGTCATCAGAGTCGTCGGAGGTGACCGGGACTAGAGGAGTCTGGGGGCGAGGGACCGGCATGTCATCGCTGTTGGGAACCGGGACTAGAGGGGTCTGCGGGCGGGGGATGGGGTCCAAATCGAGGCGGTCACCGTTAGGGTGAGGGGTGGGAGGACGAGGAGCGGGCTTGGAATCGCCGTCGCCGTCGCTGTTGGGGACGGGAACCAGAGGGGTCTGGGGACGGGGAATCGGGTCGTCATCAGAGTTGGGAACCGGGACCAAGGGGGTCTGAGGACGAGGGATAGGATCGTCCCTCTTCATGGGGCCGAGTTCGAAGCCACAGTTGTCGGGCTTGTTGGGACCGGGGCTGCCGGGACGAGGCTTGCCGGGTTCGAAGCTACAGTTGTCGGGCTTGTTGGGACCGGGGCTGCCGGGACGAGGCTTGCCGGGCTCGGCGGAGGTGGTGTAGTCCGACTCCGGATGGTACGCCTTGAGAGAGACGTGGGTGAAAGTCTGGGTAGCGACGCAAGTAGTCATCTTGATGATGTTTTGGTAGTTGTTGGTTGTTGGCTGTGGGTTACGGTTGGGTTGTTGTTAGCTTTGGTTGTTGTAGCGGTGTTGGTGTGAAAGTGTGAATGCTGATGGTGATGAGGAAAGGGAAGACCAGAAACAGGTCGGGAACGGTTCGTTGTATGCACTTTCGAGGATCCGCAGACTGTCGACTTACTGGCTCTCGGGTCTGCGCAAATCTGAAGGTCTGTCGATGCAGCGTGTTCACCGAAGCGGACCTTGGAAGCAGCATTGTTGTGCCGACATTGAGAGATGATTCACGAAAGTGTTTGCCGTCTGATCTTCCACGACATAGTCCGGTGTCAGCTGCACCAACATCACGATGGGCTTCGGCGCCGACGACACAAGTTTGATGAAGAAACATCCGCAGCTGTGCCAAGTGTTGGCCACGGGTGCCGGATGGATGATTCTTCGGTACAGCAATCTTCGGCAACGGATCCGATCGTTGCTTCATTGTTGGCTCCGGAAGTTGTTCCCTTGAACCAGCAATCGAGTGCAGAATACTCGAGCCAACAATGTCATGATCAACGAAGTATCATCGACCAACACCAAACGCACTTCCCATGTTTCGACACGTTGGCAAATCCTCAAGACATCAAGAGAAAACACCTGAATCATTCGAGTTCAAAAAGGACACTCCCAGCAAACACACATCCACAAGTCTGGACCACATAGCTAACAACTCTGACGCAGCAGTAAACGCTGATTCAAACCTCGAGCAGGCTTCGTTGTTTCCGATCTCCGACACAAACCGAACGTGGTTTCCAAATTTTTCGAATCGTCACATCTATCAGGCACTCCGATATTTAGGAAGGAGCGACCGCGTACCCATGCTGACGTGCGCATCATCATTTCCTCGCACACACCCACCACCACCAGCCCGAACGCTTTCCTAGCACCATTGACATACTTTCTCCTTCAAATTCATGGAAGAGCACACTCGTCCCCTTTACGTCGAGGGTTGACTTTGAGGGGTGGCTTTGACGCCTGCCTGGAAAGGGGGCGAGCTGTATCGTAGACGGAGAAGGAACCTGCTGGCCCAAAAGGAAGCGATCGTCTCCTCAAGGAAGGCACGGCAGCCAGGCCAGGAAGGAGGTCTGGCCTGGAATCAAATCTGGAACCCAGACTGGAAGCCAGGACGGGGACGAATGGCCATGTATATGTTCTTGGCTCCCCCAGCCTTTTGCCTTGATTAAGCTCTTCCCTTCTCCAGAACAATGCACTTTTCTCAATCTTTGGCCTGTTCTGGCTTTTTCCCTTTAGACTTCCCGCTTTACGGATCTCACCCAGGCCACTGGGACCGAATACTGTCATATACCGGTGGTGATTATGGCTAATGGGAGACATCAATACGGATGGCCCTTGACCATGACCCGAATTCTGGTGAGTGAACTTTCCCCTTATCCCGAGGGCCTGACTCCCCGGTGATACCCTGTTTTCCACCTCTGTGTACCTTGCTTCCTCAGCACTCCATCAGATAACAATGATAGAATGCTGACCATCCTCATGCAGCTCCACGCACGGCAACCTAGGCTTGTCCAAGCCTCTTTGCACCTCTAACACCCTCCTCTTCATCGCGTCTCCCGCCACCACCATGATCCCCAATCTCTGATACACTCCCTTCTCCCTATCGACCAACTTGAACAGCAACATGTACATATTCCCTCCCGTACTCCTGCCCCCCGTCTTAGCCACCATGCTAAACACCAACCCCTCCTCTTTCTCCCTCTTGAAATCGTCCTGCACCACATCCAAACAAACCCTCGGGTCCAAGATCCCCGGGTTCGGCAGCGCCCCCTCATCAAACATACTAACCCCCTCCAACTTAACCATCCACCAAAGCGCCCCATCTGTATCAGAAACGCGCACAAGCTCCGTCTCCAACAACCTCCCCCTCAAGCGCAACCAACCACCCGTTACTTCCCCCGTCTTATCCTCCGTTAAATAACTCAGCTGCACATCCTCCACTCGTATCATGAACAAGTGATCCTGAACTTCTGTTGGTAAACCGGGTACCAAAGGGCCGTCAATAGATGCCCAGGACCAACTGGGTGCCCTGTATCTTTCTGGTCGTTTTGTTGCCGGTTTCGCTCCGAAGTATTGAGTGGAGGTGTTAACCCAGAGGAGCTCCGCCTCTAGCCGGTGGCGCCATAGACCGGCCAGATAGTCGTCTCTCTTTGCTAAAGATTGGAAAAGCTTGGCGAGGCCGGAGATGGCGATGAGTTTATCTGAGGGGAAGGAGAGGCTGGTTTTTGTGTATCATTGAATCAGACGATACCATAACATATAGACATGCAGGTTGGCGTCTGAAGGTTTTTGTTCCTTTAACATGTAACTAAGGTCCCGCTTGAACCCTGCCTCCTCCCCACTAATCATCCGCGACGGTAAATCACCAAATGGAAAAGCTTCGCAGGCTTCCGAACAGCGACACTCCCAGAATAGCTGGCGGCGGCCGAAGTGGAGGACACGAGGCGCGAGCACGCGTTCCTGGAGCACCCAGGCGCGGGTGTTGACGAGCGCCTGGGAGACTTGGTTGGACCAGAGGGAGAGGTCGGTGAGAGTGAAGGATTCGATTCTCGTTTTGGGTCTGGTCTTTGCGGTGTATGCGAGTTTTGGGAATACGAGACGGGCCACGATGGAGGACGGGAGGCAAGAACTCGACTGGGAGGAGATAGAGGAGACTGAGTATGGAGAGGCAGGGACGAGGTTGAGGTAGATTGTCTGCGGGAGGATTTCTTCCTCTGGGTTCCGAGGCTGGCTGAAAAGCGTATCGGAGCAGGAGGTGGCGTCGGCGGCGGAGATATTGCAGAAGGAGTTGGAGTAGACTTTTTGCATCTGGCTGGCTTCTTGGTGCCAGTCAGTTTGGTCGTCCTTGTCTTGAAAGATGCACAAGGCGTCTATCCAGATGTAATTCACGCCGAGATGGAGGGCGACATTGATGACTTCCTGGAAGAGCTTGGGCATTGACGAGAGAGATATACCTCCTCTCAGGGATGGATAGGTTCTTTTGTTGAGCATCATCTTCTCCTCATCGGCGAAGCCCCAACGGTGAGTGAGGGTCATGTAGGGGGTAGTGGGCTTGGTCTCCTTGGTCTCTATCAGTTGGACAGTGCCTGCTGTGAAGTAAAGAAGCCGTGTGGGGAGCCAGGTGACTTGATTGGCATAGATTTTACACTGAGCGTGGTGGGCAACGCAATTGTTAACCCAACTCTTGGCTAAGTCCAAGGAAGCAGCTGTGGTAAGGCCAAGTACCGGACGAGTAAGGGCTGACTCCGGTTCTTCGGTACGCTCCAAGAAAAGTTTCCTCAAGCGTTTCCTACGTGAGGATCTTTGAGCGATTGGTGGCTCAAGGAGGAAGAACGTTTGGGTCAAAATCTTGGGAATTTCACCCAGAGGTCCCGGCGAAAGATAAAGACGTAGGCAAATTGTATAATCTTGATCATATCCAAGGTGTGCCGAAGGGGTCGTCACCCCAATACTGGCAACAGACACCGACTTGGGATCATCGTCCCAAACCCGCTGTTTCCAATCAGTACAGAATTTCCCAGAGAGAGAAGTATAAAACAACAAGTACAGTATAGATAATGAAGCAGTTCTCACATTCATCCATGTATTCTCCCAATCCTTACGTTCACCAGGTTTTAGCGACTCCCACATCGCTGTACAAACATAGCACTTTTGTTCGAGGGACGATTTGAAGCTTTCGATATCCCCGTGATGAGATGCATCTGGAGGACCCTTTGGGTATACTCGGGCTGACGAAGGGGACCTAGCGAGGCTGATGAGCAGTTCGAAGGTCTTCTTACAGACGGAACAGATCATGATGATGTTGTAATAGTTGGGCAAACCAAGAGGTATTCCCGCAAAAGGTAAAGAGAGGAAAAAGAGAAGAAAAAAAAGCACTTTCTCTCTTTACGACGTTAAGTGAAAAAGTCGTTGGTGCTTCTGCATTGGTACAGATTGACGCGATGTACGTGATGACAACTGAACAGAGAGAGGTATGTAGCCGACAGTGGTATGCTGCTGATATAAATTAATTTTAATCGTTCAGTGAGAGTCGCTGTTGGAAGCCTTTGGGAGGGGTATCAACTTCACTTGGTTCATACACGTGTATTTGCGTATGATCCTTGCAACTCACCACTCAGCTCCCCGCGCTTAACCGCCCCCTGTTTGGCGAAGCTAACAACCTCTACCGACCTATAAACCACAAGCTAAGCGCCGCTGTGGACTACTTTGGATGCACTCTATAAATGCCCAAACACTTCAAACCACAAGAAAAGAATGCATCCCCTCGCTAAACTCAACACACGGCACCCGCTCCCTCTCCTTCTTCCTCTCCCCATTTACATCTGCACGCATCATAGACAGAACCAACTGACAATTCTCATCATATCGCTTGAAAATCCCCAGCCGTTCATACACGCCCCTTTTTGGGTCCAGCAATCGAAACAGCAAAATCGCCATGAGACTTCGTTGCGTGCCGATTCCGTAGTTCCCACCCTCAAACGCCTTGACAGTCGCCAAGACTTCCCGAGAATTGAGCTGACCACAACTTTTTGGCAAACGGACCTTTGAAACGAAAAGAACAAGAATTCATTTGCCCATATCTCCACCAAATGAGGAGATGAAAGAAAAATGATTGTAGATTCGACATCAGCATGCTTGAAACTAGTAATAGAGTAGTCTTTTTGATGATATAATTGAGTTTCTTGATTTTCGTCTTTCGTTTCGATGGTCCGTTTGTCAAAAAGTTGTGGTCAGCTCAATTCTCGGAAGTCTTGGCAACTGTCAAGGCGTTTGAGGGTGGGAAAGGCTGTCGTCCACGCTGGCATGGCGAAAATTTGTTGGGCGGCATTTTCCCGCTCAAAGTTTTCTTGAAAATGATTGAGGGCTACGGGAAAGCCGTCCTTGAAGGGCTCCCGAGCCAGAATGAAGCGCTCGACGTAGCGGGTGACGCCCTCGAGCTCGACGCCTTCGATGCAGACTTTCCAGTAGATCTCTGGCTGTTCGTGTGTTGTTTTGATGAGTTTGGCGGGCATGAGGATGCCGCGGAGACGGATGCGGCCGGAGAGGATGTCGCCGGTTGGATCGCCGGTTGCGTAGGTGAGGTCTACGTTCTCGACTTTGTAGAGGAGGGTTTCGTAGTATCGTACTGGGTCTCGCGTGCAGGCGCGGTCGATTGAGGCCCAGGTCCAACTTGGAAGATGACTTTTCTTAACAGTTGGGAGAAAGGCAAATCTTGGCTGTGAAGAATGGCGAAAGATTGGTTGCCAAAGTAACTCGTGTTCGAGGTACTTGCGCCACATGCCGGCAACGTATTCGTCGTTAATGCGTGCTTGTATTATCTTGGCCAGACCGGAGCAGGCGACAAGCTTGTCGCTTTCGAAGGTTAGTTCGCAGGCTGTGTAGGACTCGACCAGGCGAGCCCAAAGGTGGTATAGGTTCAGCTCGTCTCCTTTTTGCTCTGTGTATGAGAATTTGGTGTCGAAGAATAGGTCGTTATCTTTATACATTGTGCGTCCGGCTTCACTTATTCGAGGATGGAGCCCGTCAGGAAATATTTCAGCCGCACTATGCTCGCATCATTCCCACATTAGTTGTTGCTTGCCGAAGTGTAGTATACGGGGCGATAAACACGCTCCTGGAGGACCCAGCCTCTGGTGTTTACCAGTGCTTCGGTAACCTCTCGCCTCCAGAAGGTTGGATCGAAAATCAGATATTGCTGGCGGGCAAAAATCGGAGTCCCATCATCGCGACTGCGCTTTAATTCAATGACTGGAGACGCAATGAGACCCGTGTTTCGTGCATTTACCAGAGATTCGGACCAGCTGGTGGCATCCGCGGCCGATAGGTTGCAGTAAGAGTTGGTATAGACCTTCTGCATCAGGGAGGATTCTCGCTGCCAGTCGTTGTTGTCATTATCCTGGAGGATACAAAAAGCATCGATCCATATGTATCGTAATCCGAGTTGATGGGCGAAGGTGATGATGTCCTGGAATAGGCGCGGCATCGATGCCAACAAAATTCCCTTGGTTAACGTTGGATAGGTAGCTCGAGTCAGGATCACACGCTCTTTATCCTCATCCGTAAAACCCCATCTATGAGTGACTGTCCCGTAGGGATTAGTTGGCATCTCCTGGGCGGTGTTGATCAGACGGATTGTTGTCTCCAGGCGCTCGTTTTGCTCGATGCTTAGGAGACGGGTCGGACGCCAGCCAGTGTCTTCTTGGCGCGAATTACATCTTTCGTGATTTTCAACACAGTCCTCCAACCATAACCCGGCTAAAAGCAAGGAAAGGGGAGAGGCTGTGGTGGGCTGAAGTGACGAAAGAAGGTCATGATCGAGAGATGCTCACATGGTGTTAGTTAAAAGGCTTGTTGCAGGGCGACTGATTTCTTACCGTCTACAGGTTCCATGTAAAAACGGACAGTGTAGGTGGCCCGTCTCTGTGTTGGCAAATGGCAAAGTATGTTTATGTCGTAGCATTCGCTCTGTGGTTGCCCCTTCCAGCCAAGCCCCCTCAGACCGAGCGACGTCACGACAAGGTCGCAGTCGTCGTCGTCTAGAGACGGTTGATACTAGTTGCCGGTCAGTTCTTTCACTGCTCAACGGCTCAATAAGTTGTTTTACCTTGTCCCACGAACTTTTGAAGGTGGGCCAGCAGTTCGGGACTACCTCCAATGTATTCCAAACCAGGGTGCACAAATAGCAATCCTGCTTTACCGAAGCACTGAAGCTGTGGACGGTTCGATGATGGTGAGTGAAACGGATCAGCCCGTCCGGCTTGAATTTGTCGATAGCCAACTGGAAGGTCTCGATACATGTTGGACAGATCATGGTAGTTCTCGACTACTGTTCGGGGAGGCAGCTTGTTCCCTCAAGTTGCGAGCACTTGAGTTGACGATAAACTCTGCAACTGCATCACGCCCGAGACTTGTACAGATTGATTGGTCCGCATGCATCTTGCGTCAGCTAGCACTTGCAGTCATGTCTGCGGCGTTGAGCAAACAAGTGCTGACATTGAAGTCCGTCTTGAACCCTAACCCTTGGATATCACTGTTGAGAGTTCAGAGGTGACTTCAGTTGGAAGAGAAACGTCATGTCATTCGGGATTTCAAGCGGTTCTATCGCCGCTTGTGATAGACGCCCATTTCCACAACGGATGGATGACGATCTTCGAAACTGCCTTTCTTGTTTTTTCTAGGCGAATCCGGGGAGAGGGTACCGAGGGAGAAATAAGATTACAAGCGACAACTAGCGAGGACTAGCCAGGCAGATGCGGAGGAGCAGCGGAGAGAGCGAAAGTTGAGGATGGATCTGGTAAAGAAACAACGTGGCTCGGGGAATTGGCTGTGGTTAGCCTGATTCTCGGTTATCGAGGAGGGCGATCGAGTCATCCAGAGAAATGATGTGTGTCCACTTGTTTGGGAAGAGGCAACTTGATCCGTGATGATGATGTTGGTGTTGTCACGATGTTGGAATCATCTCCGCTGTCGAGTATTTTTAGAGCAGAGGAAGCTTCCACTTTCAATGTTGGGAAATGGCTGTTTGCTTGCTGATGTGGCCCAAGCTCTGGGCCTGCAGCCTCTCATCGTCGGCCACTGCAAGGTCGGCTTTTGCAGGTGCACGGGTCACAGTGCGGGGTCCACGCTGTAGTCGGGTGGATAATGATTTTATGCTTATCCATAAGCGGCTAGCCTGCGAGTTTCATGTCATGTCAGTGGTCTGGGGACCTGACAGTTTGCATCGTCCAGTCTGATCTTTTTTGGAGGGCGATTTGTTTCATGAATGGGGGAGAAGAGATGGATATCCCGTCGTCAACGTGAAACGGCGAAACAGAGGTTCAAGCATTCCACTTCCAGCAATCCAGCTCGAGTAATTACTACTGTAATACCTGGTGCGGGTGGGTTGTTTACCTCTACGTGTAATAAAAGTGAACTGGACCTACAAATTCGTAAACGCCCGCCCGCATCCTCCCTGGCTAATCTCGCTTTCCGGGCGCTAATCTCTCTCAACCGATCTCTTGTCGTCCTCGTCCCCGTTCTTACTTTTTCCAGAGGACATTCTTGCGTCTTTTCTCTTTTTCCTCTTCTCAACAAAAACACACCCACAAACATCCAAAAGGCCAAGTTTGACGACGCCCATTCTCATCGCCAGCTACAGACTGTCGGTCGTCAACTTTCCAGTCTCAGGTGTGTGTTTACTATTTACTTAGTATGATGTTGTATCGCGATAAGCTTCCCTCAGCCCCTTCCCTCTGTTGCGACGCGGTACCTCTATCCTCTACTCTAGTCGATGCGGGCAGCCCAGCCATTGGCAGAGCGCAGAACATGTGCCACGGGGTGTCACTGGGTGTCACTGCTGGAACGGTCCCCAAATAAATAACGAGCCACTCATCGCCAAAGGATGCTCGTGGGAAGCTTGTGTCTCAACGTCAGATGCAGACCCTCGGAGAGTCGGAGGGCAACGAGTAGTCAAGTCGCATTGCATCCCAAGTGGAGGTGGAAGAAGCCGTCCCTCTCTCTCACTGTCTCTTCAACTCCCGCCCGTCAAATCAGCTTCAGTTCCTCAGTCCCAACAAGGCCCCCCAACACATCCATCCATCATTGACGTGCAGTGCGCCATTGATTGCTTACCCTTAATACTTATGTCTCCCTCTACTCCCACGTTGGCCCTTGGATGGCGTTCCATATTTAGCCTCACTTTCCCGTTTGCCTGTCCTCGTCATTTGCTCCTTCATTCCTCCCTCCCGCGTCATCCGCTGCTCCATCTCGACAACATCAATTAAGTTTAGGTATAACCTCACCATTCATCCACTAACAAAACATCCAGTTTGAGTATACTATAGATCTTGTTCCTCGCTTTCTTGGATTTCCACAAATCATCAGAATCAACCGTCAAAATGCCAGGTGTTCGTAAGTTTGCCGCGTCCATATTCCACCAGCTGGCTTTTCCCATCGCAACGGCGACGACGACGACAACGACTCGATCTACAAGCGAACACCCGGGGACCAGTTGGCGACATGAACCACGAAACCAGACGGCTGACATCTCGCTGCCATAGCTTTCGACGCGTTCACCAACCTGAAGGCGAAGCTCAGGGCTGCCTTCAAGAAGCCCACTGAGAAGAGGGCGTCCAAGCCCGTCGACCATGCTAAGCCTACCGAGGATGCTGCCGATGCTGCTCAGCACGACCCCGTTGCCGCTGCCGCTCCTCCTGCTCCTGTCGAGGACGCCAGCAAGCCCGCCCCTGCTGCCGCCCCTGCTCCCGATGCCGTCGAGCTAGCTGCCAACGAGGCCCCTCAAGAAGCCCCCAAGGAGGCCGCCAAGGAGGAGACTCCCGCTGCCGGTACGCTTATACCCGAAATCCGCGCGCCCCAGCTTGACCCGAGCAAGACATCTAACCATACATCACATCCAGCCCCCGCCGCCGCCCCCGTCGAGGTTTCCGCCGAGCCTCCCGCTGCCAAGGCTGCCCCCGTCGAGAGCGACGCCCCCGCCGTCGTTGCTGCTCCTGCCGAGGAGAAGAAGGAGGAGGAGGAGGAGGAGGAAGCTGCTGCTGCTCCTAGTGAGAACACCCCCATTCCTAGCGTAACCCCCGCTCCTGCGGTAGAAGCCCCCGAGGTGGCCGCTGCCCCTGAGGTCGCTGTTCCCGAGCAGAAGAAGGAGGAGGAGGTTTCTTCTCTTCCCGAGGTTGTCAGCAGCCCCTTCGAAATCCCCGAGATCGCCGCCCCCGAGTTTGCTGGTGCTCCGGTCGCTGCTGCTACCGAGGCTGCCGCTGTGCCCGTGGCCGTCGTTGATGAGAAGGAGGCTGTTGCTGTCCCCGCTGTTCACGAAGTCAAGAAGGTTGTGGAGGAGGCTTCCGCTGCCCCTGCTGAGACTGAGACTCCTGCTCCTGTAGCTGCCGTCGCCGAGCCTCCCGCTGCCGTCGCCGCTCCCGCCGAGACTGCTGCCCCCGCCGTTGTCGCCGCCCCCGCCGCCCCCGTTGCCGAGGAGAAGGAGGAGGAGAAGAAGGAGGAGGCTGCTGCTACCACCGCTTAAACGACATGATGACTGGATCATTATGGATTTCGATACGCGCGAGTGCGACACAATGTGTTTGAAGGCGGGGTGCGATTAGCCGGACTTGAGTTCGAATGGAGTGTACGGCGGATTTGGATGGGCTTGGCTATACCGAGGATGAAAACGGAGGGAGGGAGGTCGAGGCGTTGCAGGATTGGACCGGGATACGCTCTGTTTCGGTGTCCCCTCATGTGTTTCTACGCTGTCATGTTTCGGTACTGCGTCATGTTGGCGGGATATGTGTTACCGACGATACCAGGGTCTGATTCCCTTTTTTAATTAGTTTCTGATACCCAACTATTACTTGTCACCTATTTACGTTCACGGAGACATAGTCGTTCTGTGTGGGGTGTCGACTGCCGTTGAGGTGAGTATTATTTCATTGTCAGTAACCAAGGCGAAAACCAACTACAACAGGGAACGGTTCCATATCCTGATATCAATCGCTATCCAAAAATCGCGTGGGTCGAGTCCACAGCATAAGAAAAAGGGTCATCCTCTCGAGCGCCTTGTTTCAGGCCTCTTCATCTTCTGAATCGTCTTCATCACCAGGATCAGGCATGACGATGCGATTGAGGTGCGTCACCTACAGCCCGCCCCAGTTAGCAATGGTCTGAAAACAAAATTCGCAAATGTGAGCAGGGGGATGTCGGCACTTACAAACGGAACCATAGCCTTGATAACATTGAGCACCTGCTCCTGCCCACCTTCTGATGTAAAGACAGAATCAGGTAGCTTCTTCCCCACGGTGAAGTTGCGCAGCTTGAGCAGCTCTATGTCTCTATGCTCAGCATCGAAGCCCTAAAATTCAAGATATCCCGTTAGCTTTCCCCCTTTCACATGCTCAACCGATCGCGTAAGACAATACCGCAAACAGACATGTAGGAAATCGGACTTACCTTGGGTTTAGTCTTCAACGCATTCTCAGCATTAGCCGCACAAAACGCCTTGATAACCGCCCTCTCTTCATCCAGTCCATCGTCGTCCTCCTCCACATCCTCATCTTTCTTCCCCCTTCCCTTCTTCTTCTTCCCCTTCCCCATCCCCTTTTGTCCCGTCTTCTCCTTCGCCCCCGCACCACCGAGAAACGTCTCCTTAAAGGTCTTATCCATCAAAACCTTCCTCCACCGTCCCGGCCTCTCATCAATACTACTCCTCAACCTCCCCAACGCTGGTCCATCAGGATGCCACAGCCCTCCACCCACAAAACACTTTCCCGGCTCCACATGCACGTAATAACACGCATACGGCCCCTTCCTCCCCGTGCGCGACCAACTCGCGCTGTAATGCGGTTTATACGGCGTCGGATCCTTGCTGAAGCGGATATCCCGATAAATGCGGAAGTTGACGTCTCTAAACGGCAATTCGGGGATGGTTGGGTCACAGGAGGAAATGATCAGGTCGGTGAGCGACATGGCGTAGGATTCCCAATCCGATAAAGAGCGGCGGTATTCGGCGTCGTGGAGTTTGAGCCAGGAACGTTTGTTGTTGGCGCGCAGGTCGCGGAGGAAGTGGAGGGTGTTGGGGTGGATCGTGTTTGGAGAATAGGCCACACCATTCAGATCACGTAACTTGGGGATAGGGATGAAAGTGACTTTGGGGGAAGCGGCTTCGTCGTCGTCTTCTGATTCTTCGTTATTGTTTTTGTCATCGTCATTTTGGGTTTCCGTAGGTTCGTCGTGGTAGGCGTCTTCATCGTCTTCGTCTCCGTCTTCGTCGGGATCGGCTTCTACCTTGGCCTTCTTTGGTCGGCCGCGTTGGCGCTGCTTGGCTGCTGTGGGTTTGGCTTTGGATTTGGCGGCGGCGGAAGCTTCTGGTGAGTCGGACTCGGAGTCGCCTTCAAAATAATGGCTTTTCTTTGCGGAGGAAGAGACGCGCGTTGAGCGGCGGCGCGAGGAGTCGGGTGTTGAGACTGCATCATGGTCGTCATGCGCGATGGCTGCGGCTTTGCGTTTGCGGGGTGGCATTGTTGCTTGGTTTTCGGATTTCAGATTTCTGTCTTTCTAAATGAGTTCTGGGTAGGAAACAAGAAACTCCAAAAAAAAAAAACATTGAATTGCCAAGTTCAATGGACGATTTATGTCTTTGGTATCAGTTTACTTGACCACTGAGTAGGTTATGACGTCGTTGGAATGGACAAGGCAAACGCGATCGGGGGGCGATTTCAATTGTTTGTTCGCGTCGCAGGATCGCGAGAGCACGTGGCTGACTGCAAGCTTATGTCATCGCCATCTTCTTTCCCGTCTTTCATCTTTTCTTCCCTTCCGTCCCAATTTCTCATCATCCAGCAGATATCAGACGGCATTATTGATATGGGTTTGCGGATGCCTGCTTTGACATCAAACGTTATCTTCGACAATTCAGATCTACAACTTGGACATCCACCATGAACCTCGAACATTGTATGGCCTTTTGACGCTCCAAAGTCAACACTCTGTTGCAACGTTGTATCAGATACCACCTCACGACGTTCTAAACTCGTGGAGAAGGGAGCGGGTTGGGGTTAAACATGCCCCGAAACTCCCCAATTCTCCTCTTATCTCCTCCTCATCGTCTCTACCACCCAGTGGCTTTACCCCACACGATACCCTCGACGAGGTTACACGATGTCTTGGCCGTTCCCCAACTTATCCAGACTCGGATGAAGACGGCCTCCAACTCGAGCGGGGTTGACTAACATCTGCTAGTGGTTGCTTTCCGCTCCTTGAAATATCCTTCGGTAAGAGGAAGACAGGTTTTTTAACTCTCACCACAACTCTTCTTTGCGTGTCCTACCTTGATTCTCGAGTGTTCACCATCAACAAACTCATCACCATCATCACCAGTCCTACCAGCCCACTTCACACTTGTCCAACATGACCGAACCAACAACCTACCCCTCCCCCCTCCTCCGCTCCCTCCAAGAAAACGGCTTCGTCGTAATCCGCTCCCTCCTCAACCCTCTCGAACTCTCCACCCTGCGCTCCGCCGCCACCGCCGCCACCGCCCTCGCCCGCTCCGGTTCCTGGCCCTACATCCGAACCGTAGGCAAACAATTCCCTCCCTGGCCCTCCTCTCCCCCCGCCGACGGTTCAGGAATCTGGGGCGTCCAACACCTTTTACACCCGGACCTGCCCCTACCCAAGGAATCCAAAGACGCCTTTTTGAAGCTGTACTTCTCCCCTTCCATCCTCGCCATCGCCAAACAACTCCTGCCCCAAGGAACAACGGACGATGACCTGGTGATGGAACTGTTTAACATGCTCGTCCGTCCTGATAGGGAGTTTGCCCTGAGCTGGCATCGGGATGATATACCCGCTACTTGCTCAGCGGCAGAGGAGAAGGAGAGGTTAGTTCCGGCTACGGAACCAAGGTATCATACCCAGTGGAATTTGAGTCTCGTCGACAACGACACCAGTCTCATCCTCGTTCCCAAATCGCACACGCGCCCGCGCACAGACGCTGAGCGCGCAGCGGATTTGTTTGAGCCGAATATGCCGGGTCAGCTGGTTGTGGAGCTGAATGCGGGGGACGTGGCCTTCTATGATAATAATATCTTGCATAGGGGGGTGTATTCGAGCAAAAAGGAGAGGACGACGTTGCATGGGAGTGTGGGACATGTGAATGGCGCGCAGAGCGGGAAGAGGGCGAGGAATGTGTTGCAGCATGGGGTCGGGGAGTGGGTGGAACGGTGCGATTTCTCTGCGTTGGGGGAGAGGGGGGAGGAGGCGAGGGAGAGGGCGGAGGGGATGAGGAGCAGGTTGGTGAGGATGGGAGCGGAGAATAGGGATGTCGGGTTTTCGCTTGATGGTTGAGCGGAAGGGGGATGGATTTGTAACGATGGCGAGGGGTGTTTATAGCGAAGCAATGGTATTTGCGGTTTCTAGTGAGTTGGTTTGAAACCAGAAATCAGGGAGATGCCACCGGTCCGGTAATCAAGAACAATTTGATATGTATAACCTAATCCTCCAAATGTCCCAGCCTAAAAGTAGTCCAACGCGGACTGCGAAACTCTTTAATACCACTCACTCACAGGGACTTACTCCTTCCCCAGGCAAACCCAATCCATCCTCACAAACTCCCCATTCCTCCTTCACGCCCATTCACCCACTCTTATAAACCCCCACCGTACTCGGGAAATTATTCACATTATCCGCGTACCACGCCACACTGACCCCATTCCTCGTCAACATACTCTGCGCCCCAATCGTATTCAACCCATAAATATTCACATTCGAAGCGCTTCCCTCAATGCTCGCAATCCTACTCTGACACGTCTGCCCCGCCGCAAACGTCGAGCAAGTAGTACTGTAATCGCTGAAAAACGAATACAAGCCCGCTCCATACACCAATATATTCTTGGAGTTGAGCACCCTCAAACCCCAGGCTGCTGCGCAGTTTCCTGATACTCCCGCACAGGAAGAAGAGAAGTTGGGGTCGTTGAGGGAGGAGACCGCGGGGAAGGGGACCAATGCGTTGGGGGTGGGCTGGAAATAAGGTGTTTCGGTCTGGATCATGCCCATGAAGATGTTTTGGGTGGAGGAGAGCTGGTATTGGTAGAGGACGTGGTGCTCGGATCCGGTGCCGTAGAGCCAGAAGGTTCCGGTGGTGGATTCGATGTCTGAAAGAAGAAGAGGAATGAGTTAGGGGGTCTGGTGTTGAGGAAAGAGGGAAAGAGGGAAAGAGAGGAACTTACAAAGACCACGCCCGCTGTAAAGAGTAATCTGCGTATTCGCCGCGTCATCAATATCATGGTCGGCGGTCCTGTTAATCATCACACCTTCGTCAGCTTCTCTTCACATCTTTCTTCCCCCGGAAACAGGCATATACTCACCACAACCAAACATTCTCCATATACAACCCGCTCGCCCCCTTGGTGACATGCATCGCCATAAACGCCACGATACACCCCTGCCTCACCGTCGGGTTCCCCGGCGTCTTCAGACACTGCCCAACCTGCTGCTGACTACCCACAAACCCTCCAATCCTCGTATGCACATCCCACATTCCGCTGGGGCTGCTCGCCGGACTGGCCAAGTTCCACTCGATCAGCACCGCGCCCGCCTGTGCGTTCTGCGTGGAAACGATAAAGTCGCTCAGCTCCACGGTGCCCGCCTGTCCGCTGTAGCTCCCCACTTGTAGGACTGGCTTCGGGTTGTTCATGTCGTTGAAGAAGCTGTCGGCCGACAAGATGGTGGCGTAGGACTCGCCGACGATCTTGGCCCCCGGCGGGATGAGGATCGTCGAGGTGACGCGGTACAGCCCGTAGTCGAGGTAGAGCACTTTGCCCTGGGCGACGGCGGTGTTGATGGCGTTTTGCACGGCGGCGGTGTCGTCGGTTGCCGCGTCGCCCTTGGCGCCCGAGGCGCGGACGGAGATGAATTGTGAGGCGGAGAGGGTCTCGTATTGAGGCTTGGAGCGCGTGTAGTAGCGCCCGTTGGAGGCGAGGAGGCTGGCGGGGCGCGGGTTGGGGGTCACGGCGCCGGCGAACTCGACGGGGCCCGAGGGGGTGTATTTGTGGCCGTTGCCCCAGGCGGTGATGGTGGTTGAGCCGGTGGAGCCGGAGAGGTAGGTGCCCTGAGGACCCTTGACGGCGATGGGGACGTTGGTGAGGGCGATGTTCTCGAGGACGAGAGTGCCGGCGGTGTCGGGAGTGCTGGTGGTGGTCCACCTCGTGGAGATGGCGACGGGGGTGTTGGTGAAAGAACTGTCGAAGACGGTGATGGAGCCGGTTTCTATCTTGCCGCTGCCGGCGGTGATGTCGATGCCGATGCCGCAGTTGTTGATGGATAGGCCGGAATAAGTCCAGCCCCAGTCCCAGAGGTGATAGATGGCTGGGGAGTGTCAGCAGATCATATCAGATTGCAAGGGAAACGGTATAATAAGCGCACCTGTCTTGCAGTTGTTGAACTTCAAGTTCCTCATTGTAAACTGCTGATTACCCATTGAAGCACCAGTGGCACCGCCATTGAAGGTCAAGTCTGTGACAAAACCACCGCTGCCTTCCTCCATGAACAAACCAACATGGACGACATTGGATACCGTTGGCATGTTGAAGACGATGTTCTGCAGACTTGTCGCCTGTGAAGTTGGCCAGTGAATACCAGTCGCGGCAGTGGCAGGAGGGATATTCCTGGTATCGATAACAAAGTTGCGGATTTGGCGGAAGAATACGTTTACAGCCTTCCAGTTCAGGTTTTGAGTGTAATAGGGATTCGCATCGATGAGACCAAAACCAGCAAAGTTGGCCGTGGCCTTGAGTGTTGGCGGGGAACTCGCATCTCCAATCAGCTGAGTGAAGTATGCTGGTTTGATGGACCCGGAGATGAGGTACGTTCCGGCAGGAAAGTAGACAACGGCTGGGGTCGTGGTGCTTGAGGTCTTTAAACTTTCGTTAGGACAAGCTTCTTGTGATGAGTTGGGCAATGCTTACACAGCCCTGGTTGCAAGGATTTCCGGCAGTGATGGCGGCATTGATAGCATTAGTATCGTCCGTAACACCATCTCCTATCTCCGTGTTAGACATCCTTGTGGGTATAACTCGGGGAACACTTTCGGCTCAACATACCCTTTGCTCCATAATCCTTGACATTTCGAAAGACTGGGTATCCAGAGGGGGCGAAGGGTGCATAACCACGATCTAGTCTTGTTGTTAGTTTTGGAAGTAAGTAGGAGTAAGTGAACCTTCGTACGAGCAATGTCCCCCATCCAATATGCATCGACAGCAGATGCTAAGCCGGCAACAGCCAGCAGAAGGGTGCCAAAACGCATGGTGAAGGTTCGACAGCCGCGGCTGTAACGAAACGAAGACCGGATATCTGTCTCACTGGAGCACAACACGATGAAGAAGCACGAGCTTGTGTTATCCCTAGCACGCGGGACGACGGCTCATATATCTGATTTCGTGAGGAATGTCGATCTTCAGCAGACAACCACGTGTAGCGGGAATGTTGAGAGTGTCTCCGAACCCCCTTGATGTGGAACCCACCAGTTTTTATATGAAAGGGGTGGCAACAACAGGAAGCATGAATCCAATACCGCTTTTTTTTCGTTCAAATCGGAATTATCTAAACGCGGGGACTAGGCTCAACGCAGTCTAAGGCATGAGCTCTTGCTCGATCGGCTTCTGCGTGTCACTTGCATGACAGACTTGCCAGTCGCTCTGAATGGTTTGTTCAACTTACCGGCCCCGGTGGCCGCCTTGCTTGCAGGTGCTTCCCCGATCTACTAGACCGTAAGGGGGATAGGATAAATCCGGTTTGAATGAAAAAAAGCAGTATCACCTCGGAGTTGCTGGATAATACACCACCTGCCTACTTGGTATGGGTGAGGTACGTGACCTGAGTGAAGTCCACGATCCATCCATCACAAAGGGCCGAATGACTACGCCACATGTGTTTTCCAGGACACACTAGGAGAAACAAGACTTGATCTCTTCACGGCAGACCATCCTCTTTTGGAAGAGTCTCCTACGTACCTGGCCCCCGTCAAGGTGAAGGGGACGATGTTCATTCGCGTAGTTATCCTCCTCGGGCCGCCACCACTACCGGCGTCTACCACCGTCTCCGCAGAATGGAGGCTCGTGAGCAAGGGTCAGCTGAAGGACTTTACTGATCCATGACACGCAGTGAGGTGCCCATCTCGAACTCTCCCAAGCCTTTTGCTCTGAGGACTAGTGAGTAGGAGGATGATGAAGCAAGCGGCGTAGTAAGACAACGCCCGTCATGAGGTGGCGTCTGGGTTTGAATGCCTCTTGGACATATCCGGACATTAGCGAGATCTTGGAGGGCAGCATGAAGGGGATGGAAAATCCGGGGAAGCTTGATATTGAAGCAAGTGATAGGGAGCTTGACACACATGGAAATGTAAGGGGTAGCATTGCTTCCATATCCCGATGAATCCCGTGCTCTGATTTGCTGGCCGCGAACCAATTGTCTTTTCGGACTAACTACTTGTATTCAGTGCAGCAGAATAAGGCCGGATGTTACCACTTGGTAACGTCTAGTGACCAAACCCCGCGATCCGGTACTCTGTCGATCCAGATTCATTGATTTAACGTCTGGGCCCGATGGATGCAGGTTTGTCGGTACCGGTGACACTGGGCATGGGCTCCACTGATTTCGGAGATGACAGTTGTGGGCTCCAACGGCACCTGATAGAGCAGTGGTTGGATACAGAGCGTTCCGTGACTGTTCTAGCACTGGTGACTGGGATCGTGTAAGTCGACGCTTCTGTCTGGGTCCCGAAAACAAGTATGGACGTGCTTGGGTTCCATCTGGCTAGCACCGGGGTGATTAACGTGGTGGGTAACCTCAGACAAGGCGCGCCAGTTGTTACGTCCGATCTGGAACCATGGACCAGCCGGAGTGCGCGAGATCCTGCCAGGAACCACAGAGAGAAGGCAGTTGTTTAGTGTGCGAGTGTTGTCTTTGGGACCGAGTTTGCCTTATAGTTTTGTCACCTCATAGCCTTTGTATCTCTTTTGCTTTTGGGGTGACTCTTCAGTTCTGTAAGTGAGCCTCAGTACCAAGCTTGGGTTTCCTATGCAGGCAGTGATTTCGCTTGCAGAAGGCAGCTTGTGTAACATGTACTGGAGATAGACTCTGTCGAGAGATGATCCATGTCTAGACTAGATGTCAACTAGCTCATGGATTCTCAAGCTCCGAGTCATTTGATGGCGGTCGGATAACATAATATTTAGAGATTTGGGCACTTGGCTGTAAAAAGTTTGGCTTGCAGAGCCGGTGCATCACCTGTCAAAGTTCATGCTTGGCGGTCGTTCCAGATGTTGGCTGTACTGGGAAGTTGATGTACGAAAGTGTACACTGACATGTGGTCGAGGCCTTGATATGCCGGCTGACTGCTGTGTAACGGATTCCGGTAATCCTGAGTGCATTGTAGAGAATGTTGCATAATCGACGATGAGTCTCAAATCGACTGTCTGTCTGAAAAGACTATACAGTTCAAGATGAAATGGTTATATCGACGGGAGTCAGAACGGAGATGGGCTTGAGACATGGCTGAATGTCAAGCCGGATGGTTTATGCCGGATCAACCGAAGGCAGCGGAAGTGCTCCTTGACAAGCAAGCTGAGTCTTAAACATGGATACTCTCCGATGCCGGGTGAGCTCTGCCGAGAGAAATTGCTGGTTCATATTGTGTTCACAGTGGCGGCGCGAACGAGTGTCGTCCAAGCTGAACATGGTATGGAAATGGAAAGAAAGCCGCTAACAAAGTGTGTGAGCACCCTTGAGTCTAAGACCCAATGCCTCTGAAAAGCAGCGCGTGTAAATACTGATGCAAAGAGGGCACGGGAACACCAGGCGTGATGTGTTTGACCAAGTCGTAGTGGTGTGTGGTGGTGGTAATATGTAATGCTCGTGGCAGGCTGTTTGGATGTTGATACCACCATCCCTCTATGTCGGGGGTGGTGGGGTACTGGAAGTGTCTGCAGTGTCAAGACGGAGGGCAACTGGGAAGAAACATTGTAGCTCAAATGACGGCGCTTGATGTTCCGAACCACAAATGGGAGAGCTGCCAGTAGGAGATGACACCAGGCGGAGGGAGATGGGCGGCGAGGATGACGGAAGTATAGCCGAGTGAAAGAAAAGGCCTTGTGAGTAGTTTTATTTCTGGTACGGCCGTTGATGAGGTTTTCCTGGTATATTTTGCATCAAACGCCGGAGTCGAGTTCCATTTTCGTGCAAGTTATCGAACCGGAAGAATTGGGAGAATTAGAAGTGGTCGGGAGGTTCCGAGTCTTCCAAGGTTAAAAAAGCTGCTTCTCCGCATGTGTCTCCAGAAAAACGATCAAGCCTCTTCCCCGCTGTCAGCAATTTTGGCCAGGGGAATCTGGGGTCACCACGGCAGGTGCACTCCATCTTCCCCAGATCTCCAAATAGGAGATTTTGGCGAAGGAACATCTCCACACGCGGGCGCCACTTCCGCAGACCATCGAGACTTGGAGGTCGGTGCTTCCTCTTTCTCCTCTCCGCGCTTATAACCGCCATAGCGTGGGCCATATCTCGACGTTGGTCAAGGCTGCGGACCACAGAATAAATCGAAAATCAAGGACGACGCGGGAACAGGATTGCGCAGCGGCATGATGAGGGCTCTGTCGGTTGTTGGTTGGTCAAAGGTCAAAATCACATTCAAGAAAATGGCACAGGCGGTTTCCTCGGCTCCTCGTCCCTTGCGCTAGCCCGATATGGTTTAGCTGTTTCCCCGCTTTCTTGAACAGCTGCATGCGTCCAACGGCTCGAGTATGTATGGTCAAGGGAACAGAGGTGGTCGAGGCGGGTTGGTGGTCGGTTCTCGGAGCAGCTGAAGCGCCTGTTGACCATTTGACCATATTGATGAAGCCATGCCTCAGATAGATGAAATGTAGCGAGTCCAAGGCCCGTGCGTCCAAGCGGGAAAAGCACATGCAAGTGGAAGACCTCCATCTCGTGAGTGGAGAGTGACGTCTCGGAGCTTGAAGATGCCGCTCCACTCCAAACGTCGTGAATGCGAACATGTTAACGTCAGGGACAGAAAATGTCCGAATCCGGTATCTTCTCGGAGTGATTGAAGTCGACATTACCAGGCTCATTGGAGGGTTTTCTTGGTCGCCTGTTTGGATTATGAGCAGCCGCTTTGTGTTGAACTTGTGCTGAGCACTCACTGAGCAGGAGTGCTCCATTTCGCCGAGGCACTTGTCGTGCCGCAACCCGACACTCACTCCAACAGACAGCTGTGAAATGAGTGCTGAACCCCAACTTTTATGACGGCCCGGATTGAGCAACAAGGACCGTGTGCCTTGGCTGGGGATTGGTTCCTTCCCCCACCCCCACATTTTGCACCTGCCGTGTTTGCAGGGAAGGGCCGGTGCCACTTCTTGTGTGTCGGGGGGGCTTCTGGGGTTTGACCCCTCGCTCGGCAGGCTGGTAGGCTTTCTGGCCCCTCCTTCTCGCTTCTCTCGGTTGTCTTCCCCATTTTCCATGCGGAGATGCAGCCTTGGTTCCGTCGGAGAAACGATGCGGGGGATTATTGGAGGCCAGGCAAGCTCCGAAGCTCACGCCCCCAGGGAAGGGAGACGAGTTCAGTTGCAAGCGGCATGCCCTTGGGTGCTGTTTTCAGCCGTCCGCCCGTTCTTGGTTGGAAGCTCCTAATCGGGAAGTTTTGCACGCTCTTTCCTCTGTACAGCAAATGGGGAATGATGCCGTGTGCTCGTCAACACTGTTTCATCTTTTTCACGTCTGTTTCCATCCACACACGACTTCCCATCTCCCGGCCACCCTCTCGAGGAGACGGACCTGAAACTTGGAGATCCAATTCCATTTCTCTCGTCCATAATTCACCCGCCGCACCGCCAGCAGTTAGCGACGCAGTGCTTTCCCCACACTTGGATGGACGAGCCCGCTTAACAGCACCCCGGCAACATCATCCGACAGCACCTGACGATCTGAGGTCCGGGTACCTCAAACCTGTACCTTTACAACCTCTTGTGCATCATTACGCTGTCTCCAACGGACTACCAGACATCGACGTTACTTCAGGGGCAGCCAACAAGAAGAAAGTGTTCCAGTCTCCGTTCCTGTTCCAACAATCTCAACTCTACTCCCATTACTGCGGCCTGGTGATTGTTTCATTGTTACCATTCAAGACTGCGTGCCTACTCGACCAGTGGCTGGGCCTACTTACTCCAAGCACAGGAGGGTGGGACAAGGTCGCCTTATACATAGTTCAAGCATTACGTCGCTCTGCCGGGGTAACAAAAGCAAACCAAGTCGGGCAACACAATAACGGTCATCATTCTTCAGTATCCCCATTCCCCTCTTTCTCCTCATTTCTCCTTCCCAGCATTGGCATTCTGTCCATCCGCGCTAAAGGTCCTCGAGGTCTTCTTACAACCAAGACATCGCCCGAATATCAAACAGGTATTGTTATTATTGTACGTACTTCCATCCGACATTCCTTGATACTTTCCCCCCCGTGTCGTCCATCACTCGACATGATTGGCACTTCTCCGCTTTTGGGTGACGGGATGAAGCGCGGAGAGCTTTGAAGTCAGCTTCCATCCGTCGGCTCGTCCCTCTTTTCCTCCACATCGATCCATCAATTCCACTCACCTTTCCCCATCCGTCCGCTCGAGTGTCGTTTCTCCTCATCTCGACGACAACTCCTCACGCACGCGACAGCCAGCCACTGCCGTCGTATTACCTCTGCGAATTGACACAGCATACAACTGGACCTTACCCATCACCCCACTCGCGGACAAGGGCTCACAGACCTCCTCTCGTGCTTTAGGTTGTGTCATTGGCGGTCATCTTGCCTGGTCCCGTCTCCCGCCTGATCCTCCCCGCCCTCCTCTTGCTCGACCTCTACAACTAGACAACGTGCCATAGCCGTACGACATCTCGGCCCTTTCTCCATTGGCACCTCTTGACGCAAGCTGCAGTTGGCCAAGCGGGCGTAAAGGGCCAGTTATAGTGTTACAGAAAGTGGGTTTGAGGAAAGACATCACAACCGAAACTGGCAACGGCGTGGGGTAAGCAGTCTCCAAAAAGAAGGGCTGGTGATCGACAACGTTGAGTACGGTGCTATCAGGGCAGTTCGTTGCCTGAGCTTCTACCTTCGTCTATCCGTCCACTGCCGGGCCGCACCGGGGAAAGAAGAAAGGTCGTCTCTGGCATTATTGCCGTGTGCTACTCCGCAGTCTCATCCTGTTATCCATCCCGCGCAAACATACACTGCCCAACCCACATCGACGGCGTCACTTCAACTTCCACCACCCAATTTTGACCACTCTAGCCTCCAGTTCCCATTTGGACCTTTGCCTACCCCTCTTCAGACCCCAAAACGGCCTGCGTCCCTACCTTTCATACTCAAGTAGTACCCATTCGGACCCCAAGTACACAAGGCAAACAACCCTGGCATCATCATGTCCCAACAATCCGTTGCCGTTGAGGCCGCTGCTTCCCTACCGGGAAATAATGCGCACGAGGGGGGAGAGGCCCGCCCTCAGAAGCCAAAGAATTTACCGTGCAAATTCTGTGCGAAGCGATTCAGGTGAGTGATCCTGAACATCATCTCTCATCTTCCATCCGATACTGATGTCTTATAAGGCGCGTCGAGCATGTTCAGAGACACGAGAGAACTCATACCAAAGAGAAGCCTTTCGAATGCGAGTGGGAGGGATGTGGAAAGAGATTCGGACGACGGTAAGTTGCGTGCTTCCATCTCAACATCTCCGCATTTTCTGTGTGCACATTTGACGGCACAAGCCCACCGAGCCAGTCACTCTCACTTTCTGCCTTCAACGGATCCCCAACTTTTTTTGCTCCCTTTGCCCACGACTTGGAACCCCTCTCCCTCGAGTCTAGCTTTGTTTGGCTGTTCACTTTACACCATCGATTCTCAAGACTCTTGGGATAGCATAAGTCCTTTCATCGCGTTGCCCTACATCTGCTTACATGGACATCAGGGATCTTCTCGTCCGTCACGAGAAGCTTTGCCATCTCAACGAAGGAGCCAACAACAACAATAACAACGCCAGCAGTAGCAACGGCAACAATGCGAACCACAAAGATGGCAACAAACGGCGCAAAACGTCTTCGTCAAGTGTCGTGTCTCCCCGTTCACTGGAGAATCATACCGATATCCCAATGAAAAACACGCAGCACCGGCCAGTAACGCACCCTCAGTTCCCCAACGGCGGTATGCAGCCTTCCATGGTTTCGTCCATGCCATCTGACTCTAGGCTTCTATCAAGAGGTCCGGCTTGTAATCTCGATCTGCTCTCCGATGCGGCGACGCACCTTGCCTCCGGTGGTGAGGTCAATAACCTTCAGCACATGCAACCGACTATGATGCAAGGACTCTCGCAACAGCAACCCGAGCTTCCCCCGGCCAAGTCTTACCAGGACTCCATGTCTTTCGCAAATCATAATCCAAAGCAGGAGCCTGGTGTTATGAATGGAGGATATTCTACGCAACCCCCGGGCTCCGAATTTGACCCCTTTTTCATGGATGACTACGCGTCATCGCACGCTTTCCCTCCACTCCTCGACGGGGAACAACCGTTCAGTATGTGGTCTCGCCCTGGACTCGAAAGCGGACTACAAGGTGGTCCCTCGAAGCCTAATTCGACATTTCCTTCGAGGTTTCCATCGGTGCAGCCGGAGCTTCGAGATGGTCCAGACGGGAGTGCCAGAGTGCATGCTGATACGATGAAAGCAGCAAACTTGACGATTTCGGCAAAGGACCATTCCGTCATGAAAGCCAAGCTCGATGAATTCTCTTCGGTTCTCCCCAGCAACTTCGTGTTCCCTTCGCGCCATACTTTGCAGAGGTTCTTGGAGGGCTTTTTCACTGGGTTCCATGACCATCTACCCTTCATTCACCTCCCGACCTTTTTGCCTGTGGAAGCTTCCCCTGAATTGTTGCTGGCCATTGCTTCGGTAGGTGCCCAGTACCGATTTGAACGATCAAGAGGCCATGCGCTCTGGTATGCCGCCAAAGCGGTTGCCTTGGAGCAGATCCGACGCCGAAATAGCTACGAAGTGCAAGGCCTTCTACCGACTTCGGCGGCATATAGCCCCCATTCCACGAGACCGTCACCGAGCTCTGGGTTTCGACACTCGTATCCTTCTGTTCAGCGAGACCGCCCGGTCACTCAAGACACCCACCGGGAGCCTTAGTAAGTTACGTGTTTTCGATGGCTGCGTTTCATAAACACTAACCTTTGTTAGTTCCCCGAATACGCCCCAGTCACGCCTCGAGACCATTCAAGCAATTCTTCTTCTTTTCGCTATAGGTCTTTGGGGGGCCAAAGCCATCCTCCACGAGGCACTGTCCCTGCAGAGCCAACTTGCCCTTCTGGTCAGGGAAGAAGGTCTCCAGGGCGAACCCAACCAAGCGCCCGACTGGGAGAGTTGGGTACGCACCGAGTCAGCGACTCGAACGAAGCTGATAGCCTACTGCTTCTTCAACCTCTGCAGTGTTGCGTACAATACGGTCCCCCTACTCCTGACATCCGAGATCCAACTCTATCTGCCCAACGCCACTCGTTTGTGGAGAGCAGGAGATTCGATTCAGTGGCAAGAAGCGCGACAAACCTGTCCCAATACCGAAGTTCCTTTGCCAATTGCATTTGCCCGGTTGTTCAACCGTGGGATCCAAGGCCCGCCTCCACAGCTCACATCCCTGGGCAACTACGTTCTCATTCATGCTATCCTCCAGCACATATTTGTGCTCAAGCAGGCAACTTTTGCAACGTCCCTGGGAATGCAGAGAGCCCTAAGGGCACAGGAGAATGAGGATATTTGTCAAGCAATTCGAGTGTGGTTTCACAGTGTTGAGCAGCAACGACACGTAGAGGGGGTCGATACGTGGGATCCTGTCGACTCCAATTCTTCGGCCTTGCACAGGGTGGCGTTCATCAGGCTGAACACGGACCTGAATGCTAGTCGCCATCTCGAAACCCGTGATTATAACGCCGCTGGGAGGGCATATGCGGAGGCACCTCTGCTTTTGCGTGGTATGCTGCTCAATCGTGCAGTGTATCAGGCTATTCAGGCGCTTAGCCCCTTGGTTAAGATGGGCGTCAATTACGTAGCGAGGACCAAGTCGCCTGAATGGGGTGTGCAACATTCAAGTATGTTCTTCCTTGCTTTCCCGTCTCCCAAGAACCCAAAGAGACGAAACTAACTAATCCTCTTTTCATAGTGAGCAACAATGAATGTGCCGTCCTAATCTCCAAATGGCTTCTGACCCTCGCGTCCATCGGCCCCGCCGATCCCCCGATAACAACCGATGAGAACGGCCTCCTCGAAGGCCTCCGCCGCATGCTAGACGAGACCGAATTCGCCGTCCCCGTTGACCCGGCCATCGGCGGAGGGGCACAGCAAAATCACAATCACCAACAGAGGTCGACCGACGGGTCAGCTACCGACCCCACCACCCTTCGCCAGCTCGCCGCGGCTGTAGTCAGGTTATGGGCGGAGACGTTTAGGGGGACCCATATCTTTGAGTTTGTGGACATGATGGGTTCGGGGCTGGAATCGTACGCATATCATATTGAGAATCCTAGGGACAGGACGCCGTTGGCGATGGGAAGGATGGGCGCCAATCATCAGATGCAGATGTAGTGAGGGGCAGCATGATTGATTATTTTGGGAAGAGGTTCTTGGTATAGGGACTGGTGAATTAAGGGACAGAGGCTTGGTGTCTCGTTGTCTTGGGGAACAATACACTGGCGGGATGCCATGGCGTTGCCCGCCGGTTCGTGTGGGTATTTGAACACATGGATTTTGGAGAGAAATAGGGTAAAGGCACGGGAAACGAAAAATACGACTACAAAGGTTTACATTATAAAGCGATCTATTTTGTGATCTGATCGTCGACGTGTTGTGAGAATCACAAGCGGATTTGAGAAACAAGAGGAAGGAGGACGGGAATCATGCTCGTTGCGGGCATTTGGTCCGGTTGAGCGCAATCGATGGTTATCGTCGGAAAGCCTTCTGTTCTGCCTTTGATTTGAACAGGGCAGAGCCATCCTCTTTTGTCCCAATCATTACCCGCATCATTGCATAGCATCTACCGGTGGTGGTAACACATAGCGGCGATGGTCATGTCACCAACCTAACCCAGCCTCTGGACCGAGCCAATCGGCGCCCGGCCGGGAGATTTGCGTCGCAGTCATAGCATAGCCTCCCCGGGCCCGGGGACATGATATGATATTGATGGTGGGCGAATTGGTAATTCGTGAAAGGCCATTTTGGTCTTCTTCGGGGAGGAAGTGCCTGATGATGAGCCTTGAGAACCCGGGTGAAGCTATTGACAAACGCATGGAGACAAATCCCCAATGTACCGGGAGCTACCTGTCTTTGGAAGGTTGTTGGAACGCTACCTAGGTGTTGTGTCGGCGTTGGCTTGACGGCGACATGAGCGGGCGAAAAAAAATCCATGCTTCGCTGAAATGAAGACGGGAATGCAAGTTGGCCTTGCTCTCAACCCCATCAGCACATTTCAAGGTAGCAGCACAGCTGGGGGGCTTCCCGCTTGACAGGGCAGCAGTGGCAGCAATGTCAGCGTCGTTCGTCGTCGTCATGTCACTCAGCTAGCGCAGCGCCCTGCAGGAGGAACCGTGAAAATCCGGGGTTCCTTGGAAACTCAAAAGAATCAAGGACCGAGAGCGGTTTGGTCCCCAAAAGGAACAACAGACAACAAGACAAGGTGCTCAGCCCCCAACATAACCTTTTTACGATATCAAAGCGGCGCCGCGCACGCCCACGCCGCATTCACGAGCACACATGCGGATGCGGATGCGGGTGCGAGATTGATAAGAAGTATGGGAAATGACAGCGTCGTAGCGGGTACGGGAATACGTGGAAAGGATGGACGATACACGAGCAGCGAAACGAGGGACGGGAAAAGCGGCCGACTGACGTGAGGCTGCCTTACCGTACCCATCGGATTACTACACTCTTGATTCTATAAGGAGCTTTTCTCATCTTGGTCAAGCAAGCGAACCGATGGCTCCGATTCCACCCACTCACTGACTCCTTGATACACGTACGGCGTTACGACTTCAGGGTACTACGATGTATACGAATAGTGCACATTGGCAATTTGGTATCGGACAAAAGCTTCCAATTCCATGGAACATATACCACGGCCACGGTGGGGGTACGAGGAAGGACACTGAGCCGCAAGATGGCATTTCCGCCAGGTACACGTACACACGAGGTACCAAGGGGCGAGCATCATGGCAATGGTCAAGCTTATGCCAATCGGGAAATTGCCAATTCTCAGCCTCGTCCCCAACCAGCCATCCATCCATTCATGACATGATTGAACCAATACTGTACTCGCCCGTTTGCAACCAACAATTGTATTGACGGACTGACGGGTCACCAACCGGGTTTCCTACATATGACAAGATGAAGCAAACGAGCGGTGCATATGTACAGCATTCGACAGAGTGGTGACCAACAACTGCCAACTCACCATGGAAAATCTTTTGGGGCGCTTGCTTCAAAGTGCAGTTTTAAAGACGCGGGAGTGGTGATATCGCAGCGTGGCTCAGTCAAGATGAATAGATAGTGTCATCCGTTCGTTCAGTAGAGAGAGTAGCTACCTAGTCAGCTGTCGAAGGAACAAGTGACAACATCACCAGTTGACCATCGGACTGGAGTTGACGTGGAAACTTTCAATGGAGGGACCAATAGGTACTTAGCCAGATGGATCCAACATTATCAAAAAAACGATCACTAACAATCTCCAACTCATTTACTCATGGATTTTCCAGGAGGTTGGTAAAGGCAACTAACCAGCTTGCAGCCAACGCCCACCCGGCTGGCTGGTAAATGCGGTCGGTTGGGTTGGTGTTACTTGTAGAGGGCTGAAGCTGGGCCCTCATCTGCGGCCGGCGACCAACTTTCCGACGAAACTCCAACCTCCCGTTCCGAGTATTTCCCACCCTCAAACGCCTTGACAGTTGCCAAGACTTCCCGAGAATTGAGCTGACGACAACTTTTTGGCAAACGGACCATCGAAACGAAAAGAACAAGACTTCATTTGCCCATATTTCCACCAAATGAGGAGGTGAAGAAAAAATGATTGTAGATTCGACATCAGCATGCTTGAAACTATCAAGAGAGCACTCTTTCTGATGATATAATTGAGTTTCTTAATTTTCGTCTTTCGTTTCGATGGTCCGTTTGTCAAAAGTTGTGGTCAGCTCAATTCTCGGGAAGTCTTGGCAACTGTCAAGGCGTTTGAGGGTGGGAAATCCAGAAGGAACTTGATATGCACAATCCTACCAGTAGGACCAACAAACGCGCAAAGCTCGCAATGTGAACATCCAACGTCGGCGCTATTCCGTAGAGGAAAACACACGAGTCACGGAGATGCACAATTCCACTCCGTCGACCGTCGCATAAAACAATTTCCCACCTTGTCATCACCGCAAACAAGGAAATGCATACCATGGCCACGGCAGTCTAGGCCGAGACCGCCCGACGAGACCCCGGACTCACCGTGTCCACTACCCCCGCGAGCCGATTTCGCAATGCCACCTCCTAACGGCTAAACGGGGAACCTTGATGGCCTAGCCCCGCGGGGACCGGGGGGTGCCGGGGATCGCCCGGGGATAAGCTAATGCGCCTCACAGCCAAGAGTCCCAAGACCCCGGCCTGGCCGACCGAACAGACCCGGCCAGAATTGGCATGCTCGGCAGGGTCTGGGGCATCGAAACCCCGGACTTAGCGGCACCGGCACCGGCATCGGCTATCGTGAGACCCGACCGCCGACCACCGATCAACCGGAGCGGGCCAGTGTGCGACGACCGTCCGGGGTGGCCCGGCCGTTAAGGTATGTACTGTACCTGGCGGACTCGGCGAAGAGCGGGCGGGGAGCGGGGACCAGCGAGCGAGCCAGCGCGGCGGGGACGGGACCTCCTTAGCGGGCTCGAGGCGGGGTACAGCACTAGGTAAGCTTATCGGCCGACGCTAAACGGCCGCGATAAGGCCTTTAGTGGGCTCCCTCTGCGCTCCGCCTCAATCGACTTTGTGCCAAGAATCCAAGAATCCCATCCCACGGCAAGGTCGGGACACCGAGATTTCGAGATTCGAGATTCGAGATTCGCCTTCTACTTTTCGTGATGGGGAGATGAACGCGTGTTTCCTCCCTTTTCCCTTTATCCCTTTTCCGCGGAATTGTGGACGCGTACGCGAATCCAGTTCGGATGATCTGTCATCAGCCAGTCAGTCAGTCAGTCGGTCAGTCATGAGATCCCGTCCCGCCCGCTTGGCGCAATGGCTTGTGTGGTTTCCTTCATTGTGGCTTTGTCGCCTGTGGTGCCGTGGAAATTGTGCCTTGAGCGCCCCGGGAGGTCGAGAAGTCGGGAACAGCGGGAGATGAAAAAGTGTTGAAATTGTTGCAAATGTCGTGAGTCACTAATTGACAGAATGAACAGGATGAACAACAAGATGAAGGAGATTGGAAGTTAACCTACGGTAACGGTACTGTAACGGGATGCACCCTATACCTGTGCCTGCGTATGTACAATATCGAATGTGCATTTGTTTAATGAAAGCACGTGGGCTTTGATGGCTTAGATGTCGGATGCGGGTAGGGCTGGCTGCTAGGTGTTGTCTATTGGGGGTGGTATGGGCCAGTCTGACTCTGGGAAATTAGGCTTATTATCAATTGCGATATGACATGACATGACATGACATGATACGGCGTATGTACTGCGGATGCGCGCAGTCATAGGGCGATATAGTCGATGGACCAAAGAAGTTGATTAGAGAGGATAGTGTATCGTCGTGTATATTGGCATATGAACACGCGGCCGCCTGACAATTGTGAACAAAAGTGACTTTCAATGATCCCGAAAACATTGCCAGAACCATATGTGAAAAAAGACTTGCAGCCTAAAATGGATAATCTGCCTAGAGCATCGTCGATGATCGATCCTCTGGACTAGAACTAGGTGCCTACAGACGGTGCGCATATCTGCCTTGCGAGTTCATCACCGGATATTATCCACAAAAAATAACCACACGAACGGCATCCATTTCGTCCCGTCCCATCCACGTGCGTAGCATCTCCCCGACTCGCCGTGAATTCCAACATCCGTAGGGATACGTACCGCGTAAGTATCTCCGTACCTGACCTCGACGATCAGGAACGGATGCGCATTCCGCATTAGCATTCCCTTTCCACATTCCCACTGCACTGCATCGCATCCCTTTTCCGTCCGAACTTCCATCCCCAACATTGCTGTTCCTGCAGTTGCATGTGCTCCATCCTACACGAGGGCTCCACAGCTTCTATGGAGCTTCGTAACGGATCGGATGGATTCGCCAGAACCACCGTGAACCACCGTGATCACCCAAGGACCTCCCTTGTTCTGCGCGAGAACTTTATGCGGTTTTCGTGTCGAGAACACGGCCACGTGCTTAGAAGAAAAAAGCTGCGCCGAGGTGTTGAAGGTATTACCGCATTGCGTGCTCAAGAGAGTAGTTGATCAATCAATCATTCACAAGTCATGGCATGTTGCAAAAGAGTCAGAGAAGTGATTGCTTGAATCATCACCTTGCTACCCAAAGAAGAAGGGTAGCAAGTGTGAACGTTATTTCCATTTGTTTGTTTGGTTTGTTCATGTAGTAAAATATTCCGGCAGTTTCTTGATGCCAGAAGACCCATTCCTTTCCCTTCATCGTCCATCATCACACAATATTCCCATCATATAACCCAACCATCCATATGTATCCCGATAATGACCTTCCAACCCATTCGTTCCCATCATTAGTAGGAGAGAGATGACAGTAGTATATGCCCAACAATACAAAAAAAAAAAAAAAAAAAAAAGATCGATACAAACAACCACCAACCACCCCTGTATGAAAATGCTGTGATGATGATGATGATGATGATGATGATGATGATGACAATGATGCTGATGTAGAACTTCGCCAGCCAGTGAACACCTCGCTTTTTGGTGTGAAAAAGGTCTAAAGCAAAAAACCAAAACCACCCTTTCCCAAAGAGTAAAAAAACGCCGATATGAATGCAGTCAATGCATTTCGATGCAATGCATAAGGTAGTGACGAGTGATGAGACAAACAGGAAACAAAAAGCAAAAAACATGACCTTGTCAGTCCAACAGGTCGAATTACCTGACCGGAATACCATTCCGATCAGCGTTAGCGCCAAACACGCGCCCAAACATGCCGCGCATGCGCTTCACCCTGCTGCCATCCTCGAGGTCCTCAGCAGTGATCTCGTAGGGGAGAACACCGCGCTTGTTGCCGGCAGCGGAGGAGACGGCGCCGCGCGTGTTGCTGAAATACACGGCCGCGGCATCCTTCTCCGGAACGCAAGGCGGGATAGTAGCAGATTGGTAGTAATCGTCGCCGTTGATGGCAACGTAAGAGTGAGGAAGGTCCAGTTCGCTGTCGGGAGTCGTCGAGCGGCTGCCGTTGGTGGAGCTGGTGTAGGAAGATGCGGAGCTGGAAAGACCGGGTGGCGAGGTGTCGCGAGAGGCGTAACCGCCGCGCGAGCGGGAGCTGCCACGGGATGAGGGAGGAGAGATGTAAGTAGGCTGTTGCTGTTGCTGCTGCTGGACGTGCTGGGTAGCGGCGGCGGCGGCGGCAACCTGGACCCAGGCCTCCTCCTCCAACTGGCGCTGGCGCTTCTCGGCCTTCTCGCGCATGCGACGGGCGTGCCGGACCTCGATGTCACGGCGGATGGGGGCCAGGAAGTAGTCCAGTTCGCGGTAGAGATCCTCCTCGGTGATGCGCAATTCCCAATCCAAAAGGCAGAGGAGCTGCTTCTCCATCAGGTTGACCTCGGTGCGGCTGAAGCCAAAGTTGTAGGCGGAGCTCGACATGTTGGTGTAGCTGGCCCAGTGCTTGTTCTTGGGACTGCTGTCGTTGAGGTACTTGGCGGCCAAGATGAGAGCAGCGAGGAAGATGCGGTGGGTGGTGCAACGGAGGCCCTTGGCGTTGGGTTGAAGGCGGGACTTTAGACGTCTGAGGTAGACCAGAGTCGACATGAGAGTGGGGACCTGGACGTTGGAGCTGACGACAAGCTGGCTGATGAAGGCCTCGAGGGTAGGTAGTCCGCCATCTTCACACTTGACAACCTTTGGTGGCGCGGTAGGTTGCTGTTCCCTTCCTGAAGAGGCCTCGACTGTTGGTGATGGCATCATGGTGGGATCGCATTGGATAACTTCGCTGGCGGCGGTAGCCAAAAACCTGATCATTTCCCTGTCGACCTTGCTGTAGACAAAGTTGTCGAGAGCCTTTGCATTGAGCTCAGTGAGGCTCATGCTCGTTGTTGATAGTAGGCCCATTGTGATATGTGTTGTGTGTATGTGTTGATGTGAGTTGAGAAGGATGTGAGTGATGCAAAAGGCAACAACAGAAAATTTTTAAAAAAACGCTGATGACGAAATGTCAACAAGAGATGTTGTAGTAGGGAATGTCGACGAGGACGGTCACCCTGGTGATGATATAACAAGAAATGGAAAAAGGGTGTGGGACAGCCGGCCAAGTCTTACACGAGGTGAAGTTGACGTGCGGCGAAGCTCATGCGGGCGGAATGAGGCACTATGTATGAAAAAGGGAGAAAAAGTTGGGGTATTTGAGCCTAGTAAATAGTAGGGTCAGGTAGCGATGGGTCACTGCTGGAGGCTTCTGAGTGGGCTTTCTGGACCTTGGGCTTTTCCACTTTTTGCTGCGTGTCTCAGTGGCTGTTCGTCAGAAGGTGACGTGCAAAAAGAGAAAGTACACGAGGCTGAGCAGGCGTTCCAGGTGGTGAAGGGTGCGTGGTGAACCTGGAAGGACAGGTGGACAGGGGGTGCGGTACCGGCAACAACAAGGGGTTGCGTGAGCTGGTGCCGTGATTCTCAACAGTGGAGAGTGAGGTGGCCCACTGAATCGGACGCAGTCGCAGTGGGGGTGTAGGGGTGTCAAGAATGGGCCGAGAGGGGGGTGAGATCAGCGATCAGCGTGGTTCCAGGCGTGAGCGGCCCTGGCTGGAATGCTGCACAAGTTGACGGGTGTGGGTTGGCAGTGGCCGGGGGCGAACCTGGGCGCTGGAGATCCCTGTCTGGCTGGTCAGTCTTGTTAATGCAACCAATCACCCAAGACAGCCGTCTCGAAGGCAAGATTCAGGGCACTTGTGAGCGGACAACGCCGTCGGCTGTTCAGAAGTGCTGGAAATGCCTCGGAGAAAGGGAGTCCCGGCTGGCTGCGGCCCGTGATGCGATGCGACTCACCTAAAAGGCACTGAAGGCCAAAGAGTTTGATGTTGAGTTTGGGTTGGGTTTGGTGTCGGTGTCGGCGGTGGGCCTGGGGAGGTGGCTTGACTTTTTGATCGTCTGAACACGAGCCGGCGACGGAAGATCGGAGCTATCAGGATGCCTCGGACCGAGTCAGATAAGATGGTGGAGTGTTTTGATGTTGTATAAAAGTGACCAGCACTACTAAATTAGCTTTGATGGCGAGTCGTCGGAGACAGAAACCGGTATGTGTATAATTAAGTGGAAATCCTGATCCTGCAGGAGAGTTGTCTATAGGTTGTCGTTGTGGATACCCGGGTGTTGATGCGACTGAAAAGGAAAGGCAGGCGTCAACGCTTGCGGTGTTGGTGTTGGTTGGTGCTTTGGAGAGCGGTGGTGATGTTTACTTTGTGTCCGGGAGATGGCGGGACGCTGTTTGAATTAATATGTACGTCGTTTGACCGACCCTGAAGACTAAAAGTTTATTCTGGTCGACTGCAACGGAACAGTCGCGCGCTAATGTGGACAGCGCGGTTGTAGAGTCGAGTGCAGACGGTTTCTCTCTGACAGAATTGCGTGGGAGGATACAATGTTCGAGCAGTCGCCCGGTACCACACGTCGGCGCTGTCTGATTCGCTCTCGATGGCTCTGGATGCAGCGGTAACTCTGAGGCGAAGCGGGCCAGGGGTTTCAACGGGGTTTAACTTGTAGGGGTTCGTAGCGCGTTCGATGTTTTGGCTTCGACAAGATGTCGCTTCCAGGCAGGACGACGTGGTACAGATCCCCAAAATAACAAACACTTGAGGATGGTTAATTGTGAGTAGTCCAATGAGGTTCTCTGAATCAGGTCAAGAGTCGAGATGTTAGCGACCTGACATGTGGTGGACGATGATGCACCTTTATCGACGCCGATTTGTAGGTGACATGGCATCAAGGGAAGGTGAAAATTGCATACTTTTGATATATCGTGCTTCACCACAAGGGAGACCAGTCCATACGGGTGAGGGAGGATATGTGAAATAAGATATTGTCTGGTGTCACCCTTTATCATTATTCAGTCTGTGACTCCCAATATCTGCAGCCCTTGTGGCAGCAATTTGGTGTTGAAACGTTGTTTCCATGCGAGGCACACCTTGGCCGTCCATCCCTATCTTGCACTTGCTTGAATGTTGAGTGTCGATCGAGTCATCAACATTGGGCTATCGACCTCCTCCATGTCTCGCCGGTCTTGGACACTCTTGGGTTCTTGGGATCGAAAGGTCTGTTCTCGGTCGTCTGCTCGTCTGGTTCCGCCCATGTCGTTTTGAATGGCTCTGGATTTGCATATTCCCATGCCCATGCCCATGCCATGCCCTCGTCTCGTGTCCTGGATAGTCCCATAGGATCTGGATGAGTGGTTGAGAGGTCGACAGATGTTCGGCGGACAATGGGCTTTGGTTGGAAGCCATGGATGCCATTGGCCGGGTCTGGAGCCCGATGTCCAGACATGAAACAGACGAGGGGCTCACGCTTTGGCCAAAAGCGGTCTACGGCCAGACCCTTTCCGATGGCCTGCCAGTCGGTGCAGTGACAGTCCTGCCAGACCAGTTACGAGCGAGACCAGCCCGTGCCGGTAACCGCAAGCGATGGGCGCAATCGATTGGACTGCGTTGCACCTGTGAATATCGTTATTTCCAAAACGAGGCGTTGACAGAAATTGATGCATGGATGTCCATCACCTCGGTTGTTTGAGAGAGAAGAAGAGGAGGATCGAGTCAGCGTCGCCCAAACTGACAAGTGGAAAGGTTCAAGTTGAGAAAAGCATGAGGTCAGGCAGTGGTTGGGCCCGTGCTTTGCTGAGCACTTTGGGGGCCCTTTAGGGTTCGGGTCTAGGGTCCCGCCACCCAGACCGTCATGGACCGGCCAATCCTGAGGATCCCCTCCTCCACTGAACAATCCCTTGTTTGGCTTGGACCATCAGACCAGGCAGTTGATGGGATTGACAACGCACAGGTCCAGCAGATGATCATCCCGACCCAATCAACGGCAGACATTCCACACCGTCATCCATCTTGCAACTCGCCGGCGACGGTGGCCACGTATCAAGCCATGCTTCATGGTCAGGCATAGACCCGACCTACCGACTCGAAATGCCCGGCCTCAACAAACTCCGGCACCTGACATAGCCGACGCCCCTCGTGGAGTCGTTCAATTGTCAACATCACAATGTCATGGCCACAATGTGCAAAGTGCAAGATATGTCCACGGGTAGGCAATACCCAGGGGCTTCTTGACACAGGGGTTCCGTTCTGTTTCCCCAGCTTTCACACGCACCTCGGGAGCGCTGACACTGTTTCCCCTGAGAATGGAGCCCTGCACGCCATCACTGCAACCATCATTGCGTCCCGGTGAAACGAAACGCACAACGTCCAAACACCCGAGCCGGCCTCTCGTCTCCGGTCACAATGGTAATCAAGACTCTCTGGAGCAGATATGGAATACCGGTCACGGTACCCCTGAAGACTAAAGAGAGGGGTAAACACCGCAACCAGCGTTCGATCTGCGCAGTAGCTCATCCGTCCACATGATGAAAAGTGGTCTTTCCGACTGCCGAGATCGTCGAAAGACGAGGCTGTCGTGCCGATGACCCCGATAGGCCGGTACCCCACGCCGAGAGTTTGGGCCCGCTCCGGGTGGGTCCACCGGTCTTGATAGCGCCGGTCCGCGTCCGTGGCCGACCACTTAAACATTCCACCTCCCGTCCGTTGTCACTTGCAAACGAGACGATCCTGTGCCAACAGGCTGCAGTTTACGGTGCGCAGAGCCAGCCATGATAGGCCCGACTGCTATACACGTACAGATCATGCCTCCGGGTTAGCCACGTTTGATATCTTTAATCGACGCAAGTTTCAGCAGTCGGCAACCGACGATCGAATACGAAATCAACAGCAGGTCAATGATACCCCATGCGGCAGCGGGAGGTTCCATGGTAATTCATCCACCATTCCAATCGCAGATGCCCCTGAGACTTGCATTGATGTGGCTTCACCACCCGAAATGCAGATAATGGTTGTGTAGATTTCGGGACAGCTGGGACGCGTGGCTGAACGAAATGGACTCAACGTTGATGCATTCACACCATGGCTCATCTGCGGGCCGATAAGACGTCAAGGGCGTCACTCTCCATTGATTGCCCTGGCGTGCCTGAGTGGTGATGATTTGGATTCATCTACTATGCAACTCTGATAACCTCAATCTTCAGTAAATAACATCCCCTCCTGTCTTAATGTCAGGGATTGCGCGAGGGATACCAACAAAACAACACAGCACAAATGTCAGTCAATTGAGTGGCGGTCCTATAGCAGTCGCGGACTTACAATGAGGATGGCAAAATCGCAACGAAAAAGAATTCTTCTCTTGGTTCCGAACATCCGTAATAACGGTCCACGATGTCAAGCAATCGCAGCCTCAAAAGCGTCTATCCGTCGGTCAGCTTCATTTGCCAATGTCGGAGGCAAGAGCCGTGTAACTGCCGCCCAAGGCCTTGATTGGCCCATCCATGTCTTGAGGCGCCCTGTTTTCTTATGCTCTTGTTAAGAGACTTGGACATGGAGAGCCAATCATCTTTGTCAAGCCGCAGTGGCAGCAAAAATCTCGAAAACAAGAATGACAGGTGAGAGGTTGTGGCTTAGCTAGGTGGCTTTCGGCGGTCGCTTGGGAAGCGAAACTCGGGCGATGCCTTGCAAAGGTGGCACGTAGCCATGGGAAAAGTTTTTTTGCTTCGAATACGCAAATACGGGTTGTACGCGCAATCCTTGCCTCTCGGCTCTTCAGTCCCTGAATTTCCATGAGACCCTGATTGGCGTTGATCGACAAGCGGTTAAAGTCGGAAGGCGACGATCAAGCCCCATCTGATGGCTGATGATGCGTCCTACCTGACGGGGGCTCAACTACACTGACGATAGCCACATGTGAAATCATCAGGCTGAAAGTCAGCAATCAGAAATCTGCCCTGCCGTGGCATGCACCTGCACACGATTTTTTGGAAGATGCAATCGACGCATCACCATTTGTGGAGGCTTTCAGCACACAAAGCCATGACAGTCCGGACACCGAGCGCCAGATACGGGATATACAGCTGGGAGGGTGTAGAAGTTGAATCTCGGAGCCTCCGGGCTTGTTGCGAATGGTTCATCGTGAGCAAGAAGGATACGACGCCCTCACCAGGCTGTGATTCCAACTTCGGCGTCGC